CTTTGGAATGAGCTGCCAGATGTGCTACGTAAGCATTCATCTTTTTTCTTGCACATACCGACTCTAAATAAAGCTTTATGTCTTATGTCTTATGTCAATGTCTAGCTCATTATCGTGTATTAGGTAACATTGCAGTGATTGGTGACCTCAACGGAAGAATAGGTAGAGAAAATGACTTCATAATGCAGACAATTTAAATGTATTTCATCTCAATGAAACTGATTTACTTAATTATGAGCCTGATTTGCCAAGTGAAAGAACAACAGAGGACATAAAGCCGGCTAATTCGTTTGGTCATAAAATTTTAAACTTGTGTAAATCTTCTGGTATAAGAATATGTAATGGTCGTTTTGGGAAAAAAAGTGAAACTTTTACATTTCAAAATAAGAATGGATGTAGCATAATTGATTATTTGCTTTTATCTCGTGATTCATTTTCTATTGTTAATGATTTTGTCATTGGTGATTTTACTACTTTTTCATGTCATGCACCCAACGGTTAAAAGTTGTATTTAAACTAAAAGGATTAACCTTAAATGAAATATGTACTTGTAAAACTGTAATATATGATTGTTATAAATGGAATGAAGGGTTTAAAGATGACGTTAAAAAGGACCTTGCAGCAAATTCCAATAAAATTAATGGACTGATAAATAGTTTATCCGATGAGCCAATGAATATCGACGAAATTGTGAACAATATTAATTCGTGTCTGTCCGATATTGTCAATTAATATACAAAAACAGAAGTGACGAAAACTTTAAAATGTGATTATTGTAACAGCTCAAAGCGAACTTATAAACCTATAAATATAAGGCAAGATAAACCGTGGATAAAAGATGACTGCAAACAATTGTATATAGAATGTAAACGCTCGTTGAAACATTTTAACCAAAGTAAGTGTGAAGAAAACAGACTTATTTTAAATCTCGCTAAACAAAGATTTAAACGAAGTGAAAATAGTTTAAAAAGACGATATAAAAAACAGCGGGGAAACATGTTGAGTTCTATAAGAAAAACGAATCCAAAGTACTTTTATCGAAAATTCAGAAAACGAAAAAAGGCCATACAAAGCAACATAAAATTAAACGATTTTGTGAAGCATTTTAAAAACTTAGTTTCTAAAGAAGAAATTGATGACGGACCAAAAGTAGAAGACAAAAATTAATTCATTTATGAAGAATTGGACCGACCTTTTACGGAGCAAGAAATTGATGTTTGTGTTAAAAAATTGAAAATAGAAAAGGCAACAGGTTATGACAATTTATTAAATGAATTTCTGAAGGAGTGTAAATTAACCCTACTGCCACTGTTATGTAAATTTTTAACGTAATACTTATTACCGGGTGGTTTCCAGAAATATGGGTCAAGAGTGTTTTAGTTCCGCTATTTAAAAAAGGTCCAGTTGATGATACAGGAAATAACAGAGGAATTTCGCTTGTGTCTCATGTTGGGAAATTGTTTACTTCTTTCATTAATACAAGACTATTAAAGTAGTGCAAAGAATACAGTATATTGACTGATGCGCAGTTTGGGTTTGTCCCTGGATATGGTACACACGACGCCATTTTTGCCCTTCATTCTGTTGTATCAAAAAGTATTCGTAAAGGAAAACGTCTCTATTGTTGTTTTATTGATTTTGTCAAAGCTTTCTACAGTGTGTCACATTATGTTTTATGGCAAAAAATGTTAAAATGCGGTATTAGTGGAAACCTATTGAATCTTATTAAATCAATGTATTCTAAGTTAAAAACTTGTGTTAAATTAGATGGTAAATTTTCAGATTTTTTCCATTGTAATGTTGGCCTAATGCAAGGCGAATCATTATCTCCATTTTTATATGCAATTTATGTAAATGACATAGAAATTGAGTTAATTAAACAAGGAATAGAACCATATGAAGTAAAAATGTTAAATCTTTATCTTTTTATGTATGCTGATGATACAGTTCTCTTCAGCGAAAGTATTTCTGAATTACAAAAAATGATAGTCACTGTATATGATAGTTCATACAAGAATGGTCTTGACATTAATTTAAGAAAAACAAAAATAGTTGTTTTTCGTAACAGAGGTGTAATGAAAGAGAATGAAAAACGGTATTTGAATGGTAAAATGATAGAAATGTGTGATCAGTTGGTATATCTTGGTTTGCTATTAAATTATAACGGTACTTTTACTGTAACACAGAAAACACTAACTGAACAGAGTAGAAAGGCTACATTTTTTTTATTGAGTAAGATTTATGATGATTGTTATACTACTGAGACTTTGATATCCTTATTTGATACATATGTAACAAGTATTGTGAATTATGGTTGTGAAATATGGGGTTTTCATAAGGGAGCTGATATAGAAACGCTTCATTTGTATTATTTAAAAAGAATTTTGAAAGTGAGAAAAGGAACTGTAAATCATATGGTGTATTTTGAACTTGGGCGTTTACCATTGTATGTAAATAGATATGTAAGAATGGTACATTATTGGTTGAAGTTATTAGAATCTAATAATTGTATATTGAAGAGTATTTATGAAGATATTTACGAATCTAGTTTTGTTAAACCGAATGATAAACTCAACTGGAGTTGTAAGATAAGAGACATACTAAACAGGTATGGATTTAAGGATATATGGTTAGCACAAAGTGTTGGAAATAGTCAATTATTTTTGTATGAATTTAAAAAAAGAATTGTTGATAATTATATAGCTGAAGGCTTGTCATTTTTTGAAAATATTTCAAAATGTAATTTGTATCAATATATACATGATGGACATACTTTGCAATTTTATTTGAATCGACCATTGAACAGTTTATTCCAGTCATATGTAACTAGATATAGAATCAATTCACATTCACTTAATGTAGAAACAGGAAGATACTTTAATATTTCCAGAAATGAGCGTGTTTGTACTATGTGTGATAAGAAAGTAATCGAAGACGAATATCATTTTATATTAGAGTGTGATAATATGTAAATGTCAGAAGTAAATATATTAAGATATATTATTATAGAAACCCATCTACTTTCAAACTAGTTGAGTTATTATCTGTAAGAAATATTAAGGAGTTAAATAATCTGGGTAAATACCTTTATGAGGCAGAGAAAATTCGTAACACTTGATTTTTGTTATGTACCTTTATTACCAATGTAAATTGTATGCCAAACTCCGCTATATGTTAGAAATTGTTTATGACATTAATACTGTATATGTATATGTAAAATGTATAATTTGTGTATCTGTTTAATCATATGAGCTGTATTTGCTTACGGAATAAAGTATTATTATATCGAATTTTATGTTTTGTAAATCTACTCACTAGTATCATTGTAAAATATGTCATTTCAAAAGGCCCTTGACTCCAGAATGAAAGATGATAGCTGCTGGTGTAATGGAGGTATATTGATATAAAGCGGTGTTTTACTATACATGTACTTCTTTACATGGTAAGATGACAAAATGAATTGACCAAAAGCAGACAATAATTAAATTGCAGTGGAAGCTTTACATGTTTTGAAAAGTCTTTTCAATTTCACAGTAAAACTAAAGTTATAATAAATTAAAATCATTTGAAACATATAGATAGTTTGTCCCCATAGATAGTCTAGCGGATAGCATTAAAAGAAAACTACCAATAGATCAGAGATTATAGGTTTTGTGTTTTTTATGGTTTTCTTTTCAAAGTAAAAACTAAAAGATTAATCAGAATATGTATATATATATAGGTGGCACATTCTCTTCAGACATTATCATGGTTTTCTAATTCAAGACATGCATGAAATATTTGCCACTGGACATTAAGCAACCAGTAATCAATCAACCAATTCATGACGAAATAGATCAATTTCCCCAAGAAAGTTAATAAAATTACCAAATGGCCTGAATTTCCCTTCACAATAATTCATAGTACACACTTTTTTTTTTGTGTACAAAGTAGTTGCATGGATGATAAATTATTACAATTTTAAGATAGCCCTGTACTCTAATCAAGGTATAAAGAACCATATTTGTTACTCTTTATTTAGATGAAAAAAAACTTGCAATTGTCAAAAACATCTTTTAGATCCATAGATTTTAATAGCAGGATATGTAAAATTCAACGTGAAAACTAATTACAAACTATTTAATTGAATTTGGAATACAGCATTTTATTTCAAAATAGCTAGTGGCAATTTTTGTTTTCATATCTTGATTACGATACAATGAAATCTTACCCTTGTGGTCATTCATGCGTAGTTACTTAGTACACGGAACAAGTATGTACTATGAAAATTAGAAGGCAAATTCAAGCAATATGATTGGACGAGAATTTGTATGTGCTAACTACGGATTAAAGGAGAATAACATTTAGCGTCACTGATGAGTCTTAAGTAGACGAAACGCGCGTCTGGCGTATTAAATTATAATCCTGGTACCTTTGATAACTATTAATACACAACATTAATTAACTTGTTGGAGTAATTATAATATCAACCCCAAAGCAAATTCTATTATAAGTGTTTGGACCCCAACCGTAGTTTTTAGCAAAATATAATACTACAGTGGCGAAACATCACAATTCGTTTTTAATCTACTAGGTGGTTATATTCTGTACATGTACAATGTGAATTATATAAGTTTTATCTATATGAAAAAAAGATGGATGTGGTATGATTGCCAATGAGACAACTTTCCACCAGAGTCCAAATGATGTAGAAGTTAACAATTATAAGACACCCTGTACGGCCTTAAACAATGAGCAAAACAATATAGCTTACATTTCGGGGGGGGGGGGGGGGGATAGGGGGGTAGGGGGGAAGGGTAGTTTTAAAAGTTGTGCATCTTGTATTATAACTATAAGCAAAACACATCAATAAACTCAGATGTCTTTCCGATGTGATATTAAATTCGTTTACAACCTTATAAGTTTTTGACAAAATAAAGAATTGACGTGAAAGAACAAACTAATTAGCAAAAGGCATTTCACACAATCCTGTTTAACTTTTTTACAAATGATAAGGCGAATAAAACTTGATAAACTTTTATTTAAAACATGATAAGTTCCAGGATTTAACACAATGTAAAATCTTTCGCATCGAATGTGTGGTTTCTAGTATACAGAAACTAGTTCGATACATTGGATTACTATAGAATATGGTTTAACTTTTGTTTTAAATCAAAGCATTGGTGTATCTTTTGATAGATGACAGGACTGTACTTGTTTTTGAATGGATCAACTAATGCATGTCTGTTGAAGTAGAATTATTAACTGTAATAATACACAAAAGTAAATGACTAACACGGTTCTAGGTTCATGTGTTAAAATAAATTTACTATGGACATCAGGGCCAATAACTCTGAAATGTGTTGTCCGATTTCAGGAAATTTCAGGATATATAGATAGATAACCACATACTGATCATTTTATTTTTATTTTAGTTATGTCCTTACTGTTTTGGGTTTCGAGATTTAAGCAAAAACTACAGATTTGATGATCGTTTGAAGAAGACAATACAATATGAATGCCAAGTTTCAAAACATTTAGCTATGTGGTTTCAGAGTTTATAACATGGTTTACGACGGACGATATGATGGCTTTATCTAACATGGTACTTAAGGGACAAGTGAGCTTATTAACCAGTGCCAAAACAATTTTGGATTCCTGCCATTCCTGGCTAAATATGCCTTGCTTTTTTATTTTATCACTATTTTTTTGTCCGAAACGAGAAAATTTATCCAGAAGATTATCGGGAAATAAAAAATATATTGTAAGAATTGAAAAATACAGATGAACGATACAAGAGGAAGATAACATGTTGATCTCCAAATTAATACAACATCCTTTCTTTTCGTCTACATTTATTTTAATTTTTTTTGGGGTAATCATTTGCTGTCTTATTGGTGAAAACCACACTACTTGAATGTATGGAGTAATAAAAATGAAAAAAAAGTCAACGCAAACAAAACCAAAGTTTCTTAACTGTCATTGCCTTGAAGACATTTGGAAAACTCAACTCATCTTAATATTGACATCTTCACCCTGTATACACTCAATATATCCCGCTGTAAATATCCCGCTTTTTAAAGCGGGCAATATATATAGTGACTGGGGAATCCGTTCGTCTGTTCGTTCGTTCTTCTATCCCATTTTTGTATCCGCAACTGTTAACCGCTTTGCACAATTCTGTAAAAGAGAGGCGAAAGATACCAAAGGGACATTCAAACTCATAGGTCGAAAATAAAGCCATGGCTAAAAAAGAAAAAGACCAACAGACAAACAACAGTACACAAAACACAACATAGAAAAACTGAAGAATGAGCAACACGAACCCCACAAAACACTGGGGGTTATCTCATGTGCTCCAGAAGGGTAAGCAGATCCTTCTCCACATGTGGTACCCGTCGTGTTGCTCATGTTAGTACAAACCCGGTAATAAATCTAATTTGGCAGGTCACATACGGGGAAACGGGGACGGGATTTTAGTTACGACATTTGGAACATATCCGCTATCATCTGTGAAACGGATATTCCATAACGGTCAACTCGTGATGGCGTCCGTAAAATTTACGAAGGGATGATTTCAACTTCACCACTTGGAACTCTTGGTTTAATAGCTTCCTTGTGAGCAGCAAAACGTTTAAAGAACCTTATTCACTTGATATACTTTTGCACCTCCTGTTATCCTATATCATAATTTCCTCTGAAGATTTCTGGGGTTAACTTTGGGATAACAAGGACATGGAATTTGTCATAGATGCAAACTATGGTACCTAAACACCTAATCATAATTGAATGACTTTCACAGAATGTTTATCATATAATGTCATTGTATACATTATTTTGTTTCTGTTGGTCAGATTTATTTCTTGGGTTTCCCTAACCAATGCACGAACTTTCCCATGATTGCTTTATTCTGGCGTATCCATTTTATAACAACAACAGCTCCTAAATTCCTTATTACAATTTATTGAAACTTTCTCATAATCTTAAACATATAATGCTATTTTGCACCTTCTATTTTGCTTTTTGATTAGAATGATTTTTTTTTGTTTCACTTACCAAAGCATGGACTTTGCCTTTGCTTTATTTTGGGGTTCCAATTTTTTATTCGTAACACCTCCTAAACACCCTGTTACAATTTATTGAAACTTTATTTCATAATTTTAACCATGAAATGCTATTGCACACCTCCTATTTGGTGTCTTCCTGGTTGTTCCCACTTTTAAGAACTACAGGTAAAAAAGGAATGAAAGTATGTGGGACAATCGGGAAGATGTTTGTGGGACAATTGGGCAGTTTAAATGTTGAACAGTCGGGAATTGTTTTGATAATAATCTATTTGTGTATCAATTAATTACATTTAATTATTAAATTTTAAGTAATCATGGAGAACAGTTGATATTCATATATATAATTAATTTTGTGATATGTTGTTATACCACTGTTCAAATTAAGATAAATATAATACAAACACTAAATATATTCTAACTTCATAGAAGATAAAATAGGTTCCAATAACATAAATTGTAAAATGAACAAATATATAATTGAAATTTTTTTGAAGTATCAAGTAATTTAATATTTACATTTGTGAAATGGATGTCAACTACTAATATGCTCATGCAATAATTAGTTTTGATTTGATATTGCAAACAAACAACAATTACATTGTTCATTTAAGAACATTTCACATAATAGATAATGTGGGACAATCAAAACTCTAAAATGTCAACTAGTGGGACTATCGGGAATAAACCTATTTTGATTTTTATTAATACAATTTGGTCTTTCTTTAACAATTATCATCTTTACAAGAGGCGGGTATCATTTTATGAGCTCTGCTCGCTGTACCTCTAGTTTAGAAATAATTTAACACAAAGGAAAGTATCTCCATCCTTCACACATCTGATTTCTTGTTTGGATTAAGCAATAATGTTTGGCCTTATCGGTTATATCAGCTCCTCACTGTTTGTTTTTTAAGTTTTGGATTTTCCATTATTTTGCCATTTAGCATCGCTGAATAATGCACCAATGTTGTAGTAAACTTTGTAACGATTAATGTCATTACAGCATAGAATATCATAAGTAGATATTTTGTACAAGATAGTCTATCTTCCCAGCAGAAAGGATTTGAAAATTCAGCAATATGCACAATGGTGGGTTCGAAATTGAAACATTTAAAGGAAGTATGAACTATATACTTTGTCAATTAAAGAAACTTTGTGAGCACGCTCACATACCCCACGCCCCCACATTGTCACCGGACAAACAAAGGCTCATAACTCATGCAAAAGAAAACTGACAAGGATTTCTTGTTGATATGCACATCTGCATACTATGTCCTTATTATCTATAAAGTTTCATGAAATTCTGTTGTGTGGTTTCAGAGGAGTTGTGATGACAAGAACAGGACTGACGGACGGACAGACAGACGGACGGGTCAAAAACATTATACCCGACGCACAAATTACGTGGGGTATAATTAATTAGATATTTTGGTAATTTTGGTGTCAATTGCAATTTTAGAGTGTTGGGATCACTGTAAAATCCTTGATTAAAGTTTCTTTTGAATAATAAACACATATATAAAATTTCAATAGAAGAGCATATTTAACCTGTTGCCCAGATCAGAAGTACCTGTTTTAGTACTACCAAATTTCCTGGAACGTATCTCCATCCTCCATACGTCTGATTCCTTGTTTGGATTAAATAATATTGTTTGGCCTTATCGGTTATGTGGGAGGATAGACCATTCTTATACAAAATATCTACTTATAATATTTTATATTGTTATAACATTAATATGCAATTAAATAATGTTGAACATTTTTAGCACAAGTCAGGATACGGTACAGTTTTGACAGGAAATGACTGTCACGACAAAATAGCTATGGATGCTTCAAATTGCAGAACGTACCATAGAGTGCATTGGGTATATGAATTAGTGAGTGTATTCTTGTAATGGCTAAAAATCTGCACTTATCAGACGAGACAAAACGGTGTTCTTTTGGTAGGAATTGGAATATAACAACAATAGTATAATACTATAGTCAATAAATCCAATGCACATATTTTTACGAATTACAAAAGGTTCAGAAAGCAAACTGATTTTCACTTACGAATTTAATGATTCCTTTTATAACTTGATTTGGTTGTAAAAGCATTGACCGAAGCACACTTTGTACGAAGCGCAGAAGCAGTGTTTGAAATGAGAAAATCGAACAATCATATCTGATAATTATTCTCTTCTGATGAATAATCCATTATGCACATTGAAATCCACCTGCCATTACAATGCTATTTTTTCCAATTTACTCTTGATATCTCATTTTCCACTTTGACTGATATTGCTGTTTTGGTAGTTGTCCATGTTGAATTGCCTTTCGATTCAGAATCTATTTTCGTTCCCTTGTATCCATTTGGTTCAACTTCTTTCCCCTGTGCAGCGCCTTTCGCTAGAATTGGACCATCAGTGTGTAAAATCAAGGCCGGCCATACCACAAAGTCGATGAGTGGCCCTTGTTTGGTATATACTGTAAACATGTTTTTATCAATCGGTCCACCTTCCAGTTGGTCATAAACAAGAACCATGGATGGCGCTTTGATTACCATGCTCCAGCATAGTTCTGTGCAGCGTTCCACAAATTTGATGACGTGGTTTTTCGAACCTGTTTTTTTGTAGTGTTCAATCTGTCGTATAGTTTCCTACAATGAATTTGTGTACATATACTGTCTTATGAAAAGGATAATTGATTATTAATTCTATTAAATCACACACACAAAAAACACCAATTTACTCAAAAGAATAAAGATAAAATACTATCATAAAATTATCTTAACCTCAAAGAGATTGAATTTTGATACAATTGTAGCATTTGCAAGTTACAAGATACAAGATACAGATATTTATCTAATAAAAATATACAGGCCCCAAATTTGGTTAAAACGATTTTGCTTGTATTTGTACTGTATTTGAAAGAGCAATTAATGAATGTTTTGTAAGATTTCTATGTTAATCGACAACTACTGTGCTTTGTTCTTCAATGCAAAAAAGTAGCATAATCGACATAAAACAACTCAAACTGATTTTGCTGTTTTGGCAGTTGTTAACTATTTCTAAATTTATCGACGGAGAATTAAAAAAAAGTTGTGTTATAAATCATTTTAGTACTCAAACTCTAACTACTGAACTGATGATACCCTATTAGATTAGCGAGCTACCAACAGCGGTATCGACCTGTGCTAAAAATGCTAAAGAAGAAACTTTAGGGCGCCGAAGTGCTTATCAGGATTTATCTTGAGAAGGAACAATGAAAATCCCAACGATCTAACTTGATAAGATTTCTGCCATGAATTAATACACAATACACCTCGTTTCCCCAGTAGTTTTACAACTGAAAAAGCAAGAAGCACGTAAGCAAAACTCTAAATGAAGAATTAGATTTTTTGGTATATTTATATTTAGGATAAAATCAATACGTCTAATCGCATAACCTAAGGTTTATAAATATATTCATATCTGGACTTGTCTCATCGTCCGACAGTAAAACCCTTTGTAAAAGAGAAGCGAAAGATAACAATTAAACATTCAAACTTAAAGTATAGTACACAAAACACAACATAGAAAACTAAAGACTGAACAACACGAACCCCACCAAAACTAGGGGTGATTTCAGGAGCTGCGAAAGGGTAAGCAGATCCTGCTCCTAATGTGGCACCCGTCGTGTTGCTCATGTAAGTACAAACCGATTTCAACTTCACCACTTGGAACTCTTGGTTTAATAGCCTCCTTGTGAGCAGAAACCCTCTATCAAGGAAATCATGATAGGAAATACTATCCCTGGAATATCGTATCAACTGGGAGATAGATACTCCGTATGCAAGCGCTGCTGGAATGTTGCTACATAGAAACGGAAAGTTCACAATTGGGAAGCTGAAATCATTTCTTTCGTCGTAAAGTTTTGTTCTCAACCGACCCTCATTTTCAATTTCTAGATGCAAGACAAGATATGAGACAGACTTAACCGTATCCGTTGTATCCTTTATCTCAAGTTCGATGGGATATATGCGTTCAACATAGTCACCAACTTTTGAATTATTTAGTGAGAGAACATCATCTATATAGCGGAAAGTGAAATTAAAGGATACTGCTAACTTGTTTTTTTTCTTTCTAAGAAGTTCCTGTATGAAATCAGCGCCTTATATGAATAAAGAAACAAGTCGACAAGAAATCAAGCATCTTGGTAATGTCAGTTTCAGAGAATTTTTTGTTTGAATCAGAGTGTTTTTTTACAAAGTAGGATTTATCCATCCCAAAGACAACTTGAAGGTACTTGTATCTACGTTGTGAATTGTGCGTCGATTGGGCTGTGCGGAATATATAAATACACAGTCACGGCCGGTCAGAATAGGGTTGATAAATCCGATGCCTCGTCTCGGGTAAGTGCCATTCCCTTTGCACGTGGAAGACCCTTGCAATTCCTTATTGTGGGCTTCATAGTGACCCTGTTAGTAGGCAAAATTTCTGCCCCTTTCCAGTATACTTTCATTTTTAATGGCAGTCCAAAATTACCATATTCAATCCAGGTAGACCTGCTTGGCAGAATAAATCTATCGTTTAATTATTAATTTGTTTTTGTCCTGAATATACATGTACGTGAACCATAGGCCTCTTGACGTGAAGAAATTGAGCAACAAACAATAGATTGATATATAATAGGTAGTCATCTTTAATAACAGAATTCAAGAACTAAAGGATACTTGTACTGCTTACTTCTTTTCCTTCTTCCGAAGAATTTCCTGTATAAAGACAGCTTCATATGAATAAAGGAACAAGTCGGCAAGAAGAAGAACACAGTTGGTTACCAAGGGAATGCCTATTGTTTGTTGAAAACACGTCCTCCAAATGTTACAAATACATGATAATCTAGAAATCAAGCATCTTGATACTGTCAGTTTCAGAAAATGTTTTGTTTGAATCAGAGATATTTTTTTACGAAGGGCGATTAATCACTCAATAAGACGAGATAATAAAAAACTGAAGTCAACCATTAAGTTGACTGATCATTCCAGATATTGTTATTCAAATCTCATAGAATTTAGTATTACAATTAGATAATTTGTGTGTGTTTACCTGTTTAACATATTCTAATAATTTCTTATCATACTTTCTTCGTTCATGGACAATATCAACCAACTCCTCCATACATTTCTGTATAACAAGCAGCCTTGCAACATCTCCCTATGATAAGTAAATTGCTTTATGTTATATCAAATGATATATTAAGAAAGTATACACATTTTGCTGCTAGTTAGACATGTGCAACTTAATGTAATGATATCAAGTAATATATTTTTACTTTTCGATCAATTTGGATCAAGATCAAATACCACAACGATTCATAATGCAGAAAATTAAATTGTTAAAATATCAAAACTTAAATGGGGACAAACTTATTTTTTGTTTCAAACCACTGGTTCTATATTTTTCTTGAAATTTATTTTAAAAAAGCAAACATAACATGCAATGTTTTCGCAGATTATTTTTTTTTATAGTACTTAATTATTTTTTATTCGAAGGTTTCCAATGATGGTAAACCAATGACAAATGTTTGGCACACAGTAATTTACAGTTACTACCTCTGTAAAAGAGAGACGAAGGATACCAAAGAAATAATCCAAAATTTATGAAAAGACCAACATACCCCATTGTTCCTAGGATTTAGTACCATTGTAGCAGCCTGTAAAAATGATTGAAGTTCTACTGTTATACGTATACCTTGGCATGAACATTTATTCCATGGATTCAAGGACAACACAAAAAAGACAAAGAGACAAACAACAGTCAAAGTTGACCGTCAATGGATTTGGCAGTTATTTGTAGGTCCTTTTTGATTTAATAGCTCTTTACCCGTTCCGGTATTTATACATCTGTGGCTCTCAAATATTAGGCTTTGGGCGTTCCTGATTAAAGGAAATCCAGATCAGATTCGGACATATGAAATTCATACAGTGTTGTTTTCATTTTTCACAGAACTTGATCAATTCCGCTGCTGGTGGCCTGTCATATTTTTCAAGTAAATTGTTTTGTTATAAACTAGGCCGTTTGTTTTCTCATTTGAATTGTTTCACATTTTTCATGTCGAGGCCTTTATAAGTTACTATACGGTGTGGGTTTCTTGAAGGCCGTACGGTTGCCTTTAATTGCATACATCCACTTCATTCTAATTTTGGTGGATATTTGTCTCATTGTCAATCATACAATTGTACCACATTTCCCGATTTTTTCTGTCTCCGAGTGTATCGTCAGCTAAGTATTCAGTACAACGGTACTGACATGACTTGTAAACAAACCTTTTCTAAATTGTCCGTTTATAACTTTATATATTATTAAGAAACTGAGGTTTCAGCTTCCTCAGAAGAGTTGACCTTAGATGGATTCGGCTATTATTTTTGAGTCCTTTTTGATGAAATAGCTCTACAACTGTTTCGGTTACTATACATATTAAGCTTTCAAATATTCGGCTTATATCATTCGTGGTAAAGGTAAATCCAGAAAAGCGCTCTAGACGCATTAAATTCATACAGTGTTGTTTTCATTTTCAACCACCCAACCAAAGACTGCCCGACATGGACCAAACTAGAAGTATAGAGACGGTACCCATTTATCTGCGTCAGATGCGCGGTTTGACAATTAATGTTAAAACAGTTTATACCGGTTTGTCAATGCAATAGAATGATAATTTCTTCGGGATTAAGTACGAGCGATAGCGTTATCATTCCCTTTAAAAATTACAATAGTGTAAATTGGTCAAGGCTCAGAAATATAAAATCTCCAGAAACATAAAATGCATTTAGCTTTTATATATCTAGTGGATGCTAGGCCTTAAAACCTTTTATATTACACAGGTTTGTCTGTACTCAGAATAGTATTTGAGGTGTGAAAACAGCTATGTTTGTCCATTTGTTATGATGAACCTTAACGGTACCAATTTTATTGCGCCGGTAACTTCAACTTATTTGAATTTTTTTGTTTGTTTCAAAATTCAACTTTTAGTCAATTTCATTGTTAAATACAAACTATTTCTAGCTGATATAAGAGAGGTGAAAGATACCAAAGGCACATTCAAACTCATAAGTTAAATAATAAACTGACAACGCCATGGCCAAAAAAAAGAAAAAGACCAGTAGACAAACTAGACTACACAAAACAAAACACAACATAGAAAACACAAGACTGAGCAACACGAAACCCACCAAAAACCAGGTGTGATCTCGTTTGCACTGGAAGGGTAAGCAGATCCTGCTCCACATGTGTCATCTGTGCTGCTCATATATGTACAAGCCCGGTAATAAGGTATAAATGTGGTTCGGGGCAGTTATAACTGATTTATAGAAACTCTTTGTTTTGAACTGTAAATAGACCTAAATAATAAGATAATCCCTTAATAAGAACAGGATTTACATCCATTCTTCACAATTAAGAAACATCAAATCCTACATTTGCATTCTAGATTTGCTATATTCTAAGTTGATTTATCGGCATGCTCACACAATACATTGCAAAATATTTAATCGTAATTTTACCTTTCAACAGATAAAAAAAAAACATTCTGAGTGAGGACTTACATGGAAGTGAACGTACTGGTATAATAACATTAACGGTACCAATTTTACTGCACCAGATGCGCATATCGACAAGTAAAGTCACGTCATTGATACTTGAGGCTATGATACATTTAACATGTAATTGAAAGTCAATATCCAATACAAACGTTAATGAATTTATAAAACAAAATAGAACCAAACGTAAAGCCATACCAGGAAAAGGCATGTATGTACTTAGGTGAAATTAGGAAAATATAGAATTTAAAATTGATATTACAAGTCAGAAGAGCATTAATTAAGGAACAAAATAAGCTAACAATATTGATAGGTTATGGGACTCCTTTTTGAGATATTTGATTTTTAAAATATGGCGGGAAAAGGCTGACTCGGGTTTTTACCTTATACTTAGCATTGGTATTATTTGGGAGTCAAATCGTAAGAAAAAAAATCTAGAATCTGCTTATTTGTTTAGCTATTGAAGTCTTATATGAAAAGAAAAGTGGGTGTTATTGGGTAAAATATTTTACCCTATATCGTAGGAAAAAACCCAAAAATTCCTAAACCTAAACCTAAGTACATCTTTAAGATGATTTCCAAAATGTTATAACATCAAGTGTAAGTTTATTAACATAGATATATTTACCTTTTTATCAACCTTTTCTTCTTTTACCATTTTGTTAAACATGGTCTATAACATAAAAATGCACATATACATATTAAGACAAAATTCTTGAAAAATTAAAGAACCTTTGTGAGAACGCTCACATGCCCTAAGCCTCCACATTGACTGTGGGCAAAGAAAATCTCACTAGGTTCCTAAGCTCAAAGACTCATAACTCCTACGAAAGTCAACTGATTATAATTTCTTGTGGATATGCACATCTACAGATTTTGTCCTTATTATCTACAAAGATTCAGGAGATTCTGTTGTGTGGCTTCAGAGAAGTAGCGATGACAAACTGTTGCAGTAGTTTATTTCATCCGAAATTTTAAGTTCAAAGGGGCATATTTCCTAGAAAAAAAAATTGAATCATAATTTCCTGTCGATATGCACATCTACATAGTATGTCATTATTATCTACAAAGTTTCATAAAATTCTGTTGTGTAGTTTCAGAGGAGTTGCGATGACAAACCGTTGCAGTAGTATATTTAGACCAATAAGTGCAAAGGGGCATAACTCCTAGAAACAAAATTGAACTATAATTTCCTGTCGATATGATAGCGTCCGTTAAAATTACGAAGGATAACCTCAAGTTTTCCATTTGAAACAGTTCATGCAATAGTTTCCTTGCAGAAACCCTTTATCAAGGTAGTCGGGATAGGAAATTAAGCCCTGGACAATCGTACAAACTGAACATACATACTCGATATTTTGCCGTTGCGGGAATGTTACTTCATAGTAAATTCAAAATTAAAATCGACCCACATTGTCAATTTCTATGTGTTAGTAAAGATATAAGGTTGACTGAACTGTATCTATTGTATATTTTATTTCAAGTTTATTTGGTTCATTGCAATCAAGTCAAGTAACTTACTGTTTGTGCTGCTTCCACTAATTGATCGGGTCGATGATGCAAACAGCATGCAATATCCCATGTATGTTTTTTAATGTCCACCATCTGTATCTTTTCAATATTTACGCATGTGCTATAACATTTCTGTAAAATGAACCATCTTTGAGTACATTTGGAATTGTTTTTATTTATAGATTGAACGAAAATCTGCAAAAGATTACTCCGTACCAGCAAGGGATGCTTATGAAAAGATGGAAATCAATAAAAAAAAAATAAAAACAAAACAATTGTCGTCGGTTATCGGCTAGGTAACGTAAGTAAATTGAAAGGTAAACACTATGAAATTTAGTGAGTGGGGTTGTGTCATCATTATATGGGACATAATCACTTTTATTGTCTAGAGTATATACAAATCTTCGTCCATTGAACGTGTTTAAATTTTCCTTGAAAAATTTCATAGTACATACTTTTTTGTGTTCAAAGTAACTGCATTAGTGTCCACAACGACATTATATTGGATTGCAATGTATTGGGATCACGGTATTTATAACATTATTGTTTTACTTTTTCAAATGAGCTTGTCTTTTAAATACATGTTTTTAAACAAAAGATTTAATAGTAGGATATATGCAGTTGTTTTCTATTCGTTCCGTTGCTTGATGAGGTCTGATTTTGATTTTGGTATTTTCTATGGACTTCCCCTTTTTGAATTTACCTTGATGTTCATTATCTTTTTATACTTTTTTAAAATACATTGTAAAACTGTAGGTATAATAAGTCCGAGATTGCCATAATGTCTGACTTCCTTTTTGGACTTGCTTGCTTTGTTAGATGCTTGTGACCGTCAAACGTCAGAGTAATCTCGGAAATGGTAGAATCAACACACCAGGAGGACATGTTAAAATAAGTCAAATATATTAGTTTATATTATCAACGTAAACACATACGTATCTGTATGAAATGAACTATATTAAACCTGCCTTTACAATATCACGGAGCTCCTTTTCTATCCTGAAGTTATCATTTGTCTTTATTTTAGATAGTTCATCAAATGCCTCGGACCATTCATCAGTATATAAACTGGACCATTTTTCAGACAATTTTGTTGGTCTATTCGAGTCACTCAAGTCAGTGATGTCGCTGTTTCCTTTCGTGAGTTGAATACCTGCTAGTTTGCTCAACCTATAAAACTCGTATATTAGCCCTATATTCACATTAATGATCTATTTTAAAATATATTTTAACATGACTTTTTGAAGCATGACTATTTTTGATCGCCTTTGATCACATAGCTCCAAACGTTTGTACGTATATATATATATACAATATATACGTCACTGGATTTGCAATGTTTGGGTTGTAGCGTTCCTAATGAAGGCAAACCGAGATGGAGCTTCGGACGCACAAAATTTATAAACAGCAATTTTCCTTTTACTATCACTGTGTTGATAACACTGTTAGTCTCCAAGTGTTTAAACAATTCAGTGGTCAGTGCTTCTGTACGGACTTAATCTATTACCTATTTTTCTGAAATTCATCGTAAATATATTAGGAAATCACTAAACACTAAGATTCAAACGCCTTCAGGCAAAGTTAATCTAAGCCGAAAATGGCTATCCTTTTAAGGTCCTTTTGGTTACTAGTATATAGCTCCTAACGTTTCTATGTATTTATACATCTCTGACTTTTAAATGTTTGGGTTTTTTATGTTCCTGATGATGGTTAATTCAGAATAACTTGAATTCTTTAACGTGTTTATTTACACTTGTATAAATGTCATTGAAGGATAATGAGTTATTTAACTTATTAGTTTCACTTAAACAAAAGTTATCTGATCTAGTAAACAAGTTCAAGCTACGCAAAAAGAGGTAGGACCAATTTCTTTCAAATTAATTTTATATCTAGGTCAATGAAAACGAAGTAGGCCATGTCGTTAAATACAAAATTCTTCGAAATCATGTACAATTTGCATTTGTTATTGATGTTTCATAAACGCCGTGAATGGCAATTTACTGCGCTAAATTAAATAAAGCAAAACATATATTTTATATTATTAGGGATATTTAGATAGTGAACGAATGCAAATTTTCTTTAAATCGTACAATATCTTACCTTGAAAGGGCACTTTCTTTTTCATCTGACAACACTTTGATCTCTTTATTTAATTTGATATTTTCTTGTTTAAGCGTTTCGTTTTTCTCGACCAAATTCTGCTGTTCATTTAGGCATCCATCCAGAAGTTGTTCTTCTGCAGAAGGTCCTCGATTCAGCTTGGCCCTTGGGGTTTTCTTAAGTTCAATAGACGCTTTAAGTTTAGCTATTTTAACAAAAACAAAATTATTAAAAATAATAATAATTATTTCCACTACTACTACCACTAATAATAATTATTATTATATGTTTACATACCTAATACAAATAGCCAGTGAAAAACATATACATTATGTGTAATATTTGTTCCGAATAATAGAACAAATACACGAACGTTCATCTTCGCTAGCCAAGAGCCAAGGGTACCGATCCGATTCTTTCATCTCCGCATGTATGGATAGCAAAGATGTGGAACTTATGAAGTATAGATAAATTTCGATGATGTTATTTACATTGTTTTCTTCGATTATAACATTTCAAGATTAGAATTAAATATACCTATTTCTTTCTCTAGATCTTTATTTTTTGTCTCTAATTTGCTCGATTCAGCTAAGATTTTATTAACAAACTGTTGAGTATTTTTGTTCGACCTCGTCAAGGTTTCTGTTGCTTCATGGTATGCTGGATCTTGTCCCCACTTTTTGCTTAGTGATTCGCCCATTTCTTCAAGAAAAAAGACAGGATCTTTCGTCAAACTGTATTTAATATGTATATTCATATTTCAAAGGACTGTAAAGACCAAAGTCCATCTTCAAATACTTTAAATTATAAACATGTATTTAGAATTAAAAGATTATTTAATTAGAAGTCAAATATTCTCCATCTTTTTAAAAGGTCTAATCTTTATCAATAAGTAGTACTATTTAACACTAAACAGAAACAGAGGTCTATACAATATTTGAGATGACTGAACCTGCATGAAGTCCCTAGAATAATGGATCCATGAATATAGTGACATAAACAATAACTAAAATTGAAAAATTTGCAAGTTAGAGTTAAGCTTCCTACTTATATAAGGCTATATATATATTCATGTGATAAGTTGTAGAACGAAATACAGGAGTACACCTTGCTGAAAAATAAGTTTTTTGTTGTTTACTTTTGTCCCTCTAAACCAATCGAAATGATCAAGCACGGAATATAGTCGTTCGTCGAGTTGGTTGTTAGTATATTTAAATCTTAGTATAGTAAGATGTAGCGTCCAATATTTTATAATAAATCATGTTTCTTTTTGATAATATATAAACATAATTAAAATAATACCAAATGGTTTAGTAGAATTAACAACTGAAACAAAATATCCCTCAAATAGTATGACATATGTACTCATGCATCAAATACTCATCAAAGTTACCATGCTTATATTTCGTACGTCAGAAACGTTAAAAGGTAAAGTATTTTGGACAATTCAAGATGTTGCATACCATTTGTCGCATACCATCGAGTTTGATAGAAGATGTTTCTCTGCTACATCAATCTCATCTCAGGGCTACCGTCCTTTAATGAGATTGTAGCTAAGAAACATCCTCTTGTTGGAAAACCACCGACTATCTATAATTACAAAAGTTATGGATTATCTTTATTACTGTGAGATCTAAATCCAATATATAGGTGCTCATGGAATGTTGCTGCATACAACTAGAAAGTGTACAGTTCAGAATTTAACGCCGCTAATTGTCAATTTCCAGTCGTGTCAGGTGTTAAGCAGATCTACTTTTTCTAATATATCTGCATTGCATGCACAATAGCCTATATGTTATATATATAGTTAGCATGCTTTGAATGATTCATCAATATAGCCACATTTACACATCAAAAAGTGAAGAAAACTGTTAGAATATTTTCTATTTCTTGCAAAGTTTGATGAAGATTTATTGATAGAATGTTGACGTTTAAATTTTCGGTATTGTGCGTTCCTGATAAAGGAAAATAAAGAAAAGAGCTTAGAACGCATGACATTTATAAAGTGTTGTTTTCATACATACAAACGCATGAAATTAATAACCTGTGGTTTTCATTTTTACAGCACTGGGTCGATACAGCTGCTGGTCGTTTATCAGTTCTCGATGGTAGCATCAGCTCAGTAGTCAATAATTCGGTACTGACATGACTTATAACAAACCTTTCAAAAATTATCAGTTTCTGAATTTATAAACTATAAAGAAACAAAGGTTTCAATTCTCTCATTCAAAGATGACCTGAGATGGATTTGGCTATTACTCTGATGTCCTTTTTTTTCATTTAGCTCCTGAACTGTTTCGGTTCTTATACATCCTTGCTTTCAAATATTCGGCTTTGGGTGTTCTTGATGAAGGTATATCAAGAAAAGAACTTCGTACGCATGAAATTTATAAAGTGTTGTTTTCATTTTAAGAGCACTGGGTCGACACTGCTGCGTGTACTGAGATGATTTTATTTTTTACATTTCGCAAAATTGTCCGTTTATAAATACACCATATATATAAATTATAACGAAAATTTGACTTCGATTCCCGCACGCAAAGTTAATTTACATGAATTTGGTTACTATTCAGGCCCCAAACTGATTTTCAACTGTTTTGGTTCTTGTACTTCCTTGGCTTTCAAATATTTTTGGCTTTGGACATTTTTAAATTTTAAATTTAGAAAGGGCGTCGGACGCATGCAATCTATAAAGTGAAGTTCCAATTTTTCAATGCCTATAACGATTCTTTATCATGGCGGCTAGTTTTAATTGGTAGAGGAAGCCAGAGTACCGGGAAAGAACCACTTCTAGTCAATTACGATGGGCTATCGAGTCCCTATGGTATGAAGTCTGCAACAAGTCGGCGAGAAAATGAGAACAGCTTGTTCCGCTGGTTTGTTTATTTTTCGCTAAAAAATCTAAATCCAACAAAAATACTAAGAAAGCTTAAGTAAAAATTTCATAGGGTTTTAACAAAGTAAGGTATACTCTTTTCTGAAACAAAATGTGTGTAACTATGATGAGCATTTAAATAATGAGACAATGATGCACATAAATAATTTATATATGTCTTCAAGATTATATGAACAAAAATATCTGCAGATTGAATAACTGTCACACTATCCGTTTTAAATGTCAAAGTAATTTCAAGTGGAAGAAAATACCTATCCCTAAAAACAACAAAAACATCGCCACATATTTAAAATAAAACACAACTGCATAAAACACAACGATTTGTATATTTTTTGAACCCTGTAAGATCGATTTTAGTTTAATGTTCAAGAACAAACTAAAGCGGACAGTATTTAAAGGATATTTTAAATTCAACTGAATAATGTGTTTCTGAAAGAATTAACAACAAAATTATTTTTAAAATTCAAATATTTTTCAACAAAGTCCGCATGACACCTGGATTTCTACCAAGAAAAACACTATTTTTTCAGAAATGGCTTTAATATTATTAAATTACCTTGGGAAAAAATCCAAAATGATATGTTATCTTTCATCTTATCAATCTTATTCAAATTTACAATTACCTAACTTATTGTGACTCCTTACTCGATTATTTTTTTTTCTCAAGCAAAGAAAAACAGCAAACCAGAGTTCTTTGAACACTGTATGTATGATGTCATATAACACTTAGTTGGTGTATCGATCTACATAAAATGGTTGACACAGTAAATCGTGTCCTTGTGTAGAAAACCCAAACAATATCCTATTTTGATCAAATGTCTCTTTGATTTAAAAACAACAATGCCCTTTAAAACTTACCTTGCTATTCCTTACTCCAGTATTTTGTCATGTACCTTTTAAAACAGAAAATAGTTCTTTGAAAAACCGCCGTATTTATGATGTCATATAACAGCTAGTGATTTTAGAAGCATATATTTCTTAGAAATGGTTTTATTTTCAGTTAAATATGATAATAAAACCTTAGAAAGAAACGCAAACTTTATATTGTCATTTAAATATTAATTCTATTTAAAATACAAATTTAAAAAAGTAAAAAAGTACTTTTTCAGAGTACATAAACTACGAAAACTGCTGTATATGGGAATTGTGATGTAACAGTTGACAATCAGCGACACCTACCTAATTGTGGTAATATTGTATGTTATTCGGATTTTTTAGAATAGGAGGCTCAAATTCGCTTCGGCGTTTATATCCCCTGAGCCGTGAGGTGAGGGGGATAAAGAGCACTGACAGGGGATATGAGCACATATCTCTTGTAAAGATTCTGAATGACAATTATAGTACACTGGACTGTCCTTATTTTAACATAAATTACCTTGTCGTTTTTATTAACAGGGGATAAGGGCTCCAATTCCCTGACAAAGTAGCCAATCACATTGCATTAGTAGCGGGAATATACCAATCAAGTATAATTTAAAGATATAATACCGATTGCAATGCGCTCGTGTGTCTGAAAGATGAACAATGCTCAAGATCAACGCTCCAGACCAAAAGTGAGTGAAGGCAAATACATACAACATTTACGAGATACAACACAGTTTATCATAATACACAATTGTACAGGCCAAATATTTATATATATGCAGTTGTCTCCATGTTCCATTTTAAAGAGAAAAGATACAAAGGGGACAATCAAAAGCAAAGGTCCAATATTAACAGACAACGCTATTACAAAAAAGTAAAAAAAAAAAACGACAAAAGACAAAAGACAAAGAAACAAGACAAAGCAATAACAGAAAACAAATCCTCGAACTGTTACTCCTTATATGTAAAAGTTTCTTGAACAAAGAACAATGTGTTAAAATTAAAAAAAAAAAACCGTCGGGCACGGACTTGCATTAATTTTGCAGACACTTATACCTGCTATTAACATACAATAGAACAAAAGATAAAACAATGCAGTAAATAATAGAAAAGCTGGCATTTGTTTATACTCTTTTACAAATTAATGCAGAAAAAAATATTGAAAATGAGTTTTATTCAAGAACGAAAATACATCCTTTCTCATTAGCTAAAGCAAATTAACGCTGAATCTAGTCTAAAAATATCAATCAGTTCAGAATACTAAAACACTGATGTTCAAGAAGCCGAACACCTAATATCACCTCCAGTTTTAAGCAGGGTTTGGGTTGCTCAGTCTTTAGTTTTCTGTTCAGTGTCTTGCAGACCATTGTTTGCTGAAGTTTCTTATTGACAACATATTTGTTAAATTTGGAGGTAGACTTTTTCAACAAATTGTCGGCATTCCTATGGGAACGAACTGTGCGCCTCTCCTTGCCGACCTCTCCTTATTTTCATATGAGTCGGAGTTCCTTCAGACACTTGTCAAAAACCAGAAGATCAAAGAAGCCAAATAATATAATTTCACATTTAGATATATTGATGATGTTCTTTTAATTAACAATCCAAACTTTTCTTATTGGGTTTCATTAATATATCCTCCAGAACTAAAAATTAAAGAAACAACAGACATGACCTCCTGCGCCTCATTTTTAGACTTATACCTCGAATTTGACATAAGCGGTCATCGCAGTACCACAATATATGACAAACGAGACGATTTTTTTTTATATTACCAATTTCCCCCACCTTAGTAGAAATAGACTAACTTCACCCGCATATGGGGTATACGTTTTCCAACTCATTCGGTATTCAAGAGCTTACAGCTGCTACCCAGACTTTATAAAACTTCACAAGTGTCTGATCAGAAAGTTGATGAACTAGGGTTATGTCAAAGAGCGTCTCGTCCTTTTTCTAAAAAAGTTCATCGGAGGATACCAAGACCTTGTTGATAAATATTTCGTATCAACTTCACAAATAATACATGATGATCTTGAAGTATAGATTCTAGGTATTGACGTTGTTTATCATCTTAATACGTGTTATAGTGCTCTTTTATTTGTCCTTGTAAAATATTAACCTTTACTATTTAGTAAATTTTTGGCAATATCCTTTTGACGTGGCTCGGTACTTATGCATCCCGCCAATGTGTTGTTTTGGTGTGGTCATTTTTTGTATTCTTGTCTTTCATTTTTGCTTATGTGCTTTATCTATATGCCATTTTGTTTTTCTTTGTTGACATATTTGTTTGTTTTTATAGTGATTAAGATTATAACACACTGCTGACTGCTGTACTCCTATTTTTAACATTTTTACCTATTATGTTTGTTTGTTTTGTTCACACATTGTTGTCAATTTCATGGAATTTTATGCGATTGTCATACAAGTAAGAGGTTAAGCTAGCTACACAACCAGGTTTAATCCACAATTTTCTTCATAAGGAAATGTCTGTACCAAGTCAGGAATATGACAGTTGTTTTCCTTCGTTTGATGTGTTTGGGCTTTTGATTTTGCCATTTGTTAAGGGACTTTCCGTTTTGAATTTTCTTTGGAATTCGGTATTGTTGTTATTTTACGTTTTTCGTCGTTTTTTTTTGCTATGGTGTTGTCTGTTTTTCTTCGACTTGTGTTTTTTTTTTATTTTCCCTTTTTAGTATCATCTGCCTCTTTTAATTTGATTGATCCCTCCTTTTCATGTGCATTTTGCTCTGTAGAAAAACCGACGGGAAAAATAAAATATTATGTGAGAATATGTCGAAAAATGATAAGTGTCAAAATGTTTTTCAAGAAAAAAAACAGATAAACACGGAATGGTTCTCATGGTTTTACATACATGATTTTGTTTAATGGTACGTATAGTTTCGGATGTACTGAAAAAGTCTTGTGCGATATCAGAAATATACTACGATCACTCGATTGCTAGCGATGCAGTTGAACTATCAGTTAAAGTAGGACTATCCATGCAGGCCACTCAGTACATGTAACAAGTGCATAAGTACTGACAAACTTAGAATTAAATTTGTATTCTTTTTATTTTGTAAATTATTTAAATGTACTAAACTGAAATTGATACCACTTTTGGCAAAGTGACCTTAGAATAATTTTGTCTGTTAACTTAGTCATCATGATCATGAAATGTTGAAACTGAACAAACTGAAAAATGTCCTTAATAGCTATAACTTGGTAAAGGATTATCAAAGTATTTTCATATGCATTTCCCGGAAAAAATAAATAAAATCAAGCAATCTTGAGTTAGTGTAATGTGTAGTAATAGTTACAAAAACTTAAATTGACCATTGCCTCTGCAACAGGTTGCACAAATAATCCATACTTACTCGCATAGTTTTCATGTTTTGCTGGTAAGTTAAATACATTGAAGCAAGTTCGATGTTAAGATTACCACATAAACAGGAAGTCAGTTAAATATCAATATAAATGTGTGTCAAAATAAATACTCTTGAACAATCACGTGATCAGACGGTTTTTAAAAAAATACATTATTATTTATAGCTAAAGGTCGGTACGTGTCATTATTTGAATTAAGGAGATACGGGAAAAGCAAGAGGATTTGCTCTGAGGTATTTTACCAACCCTTTTCTGAAGAAAAAATATGATTTTACATGCAATAATATTTTTCAGTGACAAATAAACTTTATATATCAATGTTTGAGTTTTAGCAGGTCTGTTCTAAAATAAAATTTAGCAATCTTCAGTAAGTGTAATCATAATGTGTAGTAATATTTATAAAACATAATTTAATCATTGACTCTGCCACGGTTACACAAATAATGCATACTTACTCAAATAATTCTCTTTTTTTTTGTTGGTAAGTAAAATACGTTGCAGCAATATCGACGTTAAGATTTCTATATAAGCAGGAAATAAGTAAAGTATCCATATAAATGTATGTCAAAATAAATACTTATGAACTATCATGAGATCAGGCGATTTTTTAAAAATACATCATTTATTGGTAGCTAATGGATGGTATATGTCATTATTTGAATTAAGGAGATACGGAAAAAGCAAGAATCTTTGCTGTGAGGTATTTTACTAACCCCTTTCTGTAGAAAAAAATTATCACTTTACATGCAATAAGTTTTTCAGTGACTGTAAAACTTATATCAATGTAGCATTTAAAAAAAAATAAGATTAAGTATTGGAGAATTAAGTCTAGTGGTAAACAACTACCTCCCCTGCAAACCCCGAATAGTTGAACTTTAATGTTGTTTGCGTTCTCCTTGAGGACGCTACTAATGTTAATTCACAAGAAAACTTTCTTGTTAAAAGAAGCAATGAAGAAAAAAAACCGAATTTCCGTATGTTATTCATCTTTCTGTAAATATAGAAAGCGATGAGGACAGTAACCTGAGTAGGCTATATAGAGCATGTGTAAACTCGGTTAATGGCAAAAAGTAAAATAACAGAAATACCGAACTCCAAAGAAAATTTCAAACGGAAAGTCCCTTAACAAATGGCAAAATCAAAACTCAAACACATCAAACGAATGGAAAACAACTGTCATATTCCTGACTTGTTAAGGCATTTCATTATGGTGGATTAAACCTTGGGAATACATTCCTAATGTACCAATCAATAATTTCTTTTTCCTATTGGCTGTACACGTCACTGGAATATGCCGAATTTCCGTATTTATAAGCAGCTAGTCCAAATATATTAAAGAAATCAAAGTACTGAAGTACTGAACATCGGATGACCGCAAGTTCTGGTTGATGGTCACAAGCACTTGTCTCAGAAAAAAATCACATCTATATACCTGAAATTTAGGTTAAGGTACATAGATATATTTTTTCTGAGACAAGTTCCTGTGTGGATGATGAATAAATGACAGGGAATTCAACCTCACCGTAATATTATTATATTGTAGTGACATAATCATTTGTTATCAGTATACTCTGGTTTGTTGTTATATATTATATTAATATTTGTACACCAGTAATATATATAGCAGATCATCTTAATAACTCTACAGGCAAATTTTCATCCATTTATATATCATTCTATTCTACTATTCTAATGATAGTGCATGGTGGGCACTCTTCTGTAAAAATTCGTTTTTCTAATAGACTGGATTTGAGTAGGCATTCATATTTTCCCGCTTTTGTTGCAAAACGTCCTCGAGATATTCTTCCGCATACACTCGATAATATCCGCGTGATTATACGAAATACGTTCGGTTATCAGTCAAACGGCAAGGAAATTTCTGCGGCAACATAACACCGGTATGACCTCTCAAGGTCACATCCGATGTAAAAAATATCAACAAAATCGATTGTATTGCAGCAAAGATACTATGTACTTAGTTACCGCTATTAATTGTTCCCACTTCACAGTTCACAGACTGAATAGTTGAAAACTAAGTGTATTTTTTCTGTTTTTCAAAACGAACTGTATTTTTTTCTCTCCTTCAAACAAACTGTATTTTGACACGGCCTAAACTGACTATGGTCGATAAATTTAAATTTTCGTCTTATAATGAAGAAAAAATTATTGGAAAAAGATTACAAACCTGATTATGCAGCTAAATTTTTTGGATTCTTTGAATTATTTAAATGAGTTCATCACTATTTAATCTAATGGGATTGATATTGTTTGTGTTTTGGATTTCTGTGTTGTGTTTTGTGGTCTTTTATTTATCAATGTCTATTGTTTTTGTATCAGTTACCATTGTACAGGAATTAGATGCAATCAATAATCAATAAATCAATTCCCCATTTAAATTAAATGAAATTCCTATGAATGCAAGATTTGTAATGATTTAATTTTGATTTACATATGACTGTGTATCCTCTTATGACTCAGCTTACACAAAGTGACATTATAGCTTCTCTTGTGTCTTTATCGTGATATAATACACCTATACACCAAGGCGTTGTCAGGTTATTTTCGACTTATGAGTTTGAATGTCCCTTTGGTATCTATCGCCCTTCTTTTGTAAAGAATGTAATATATATATTTAATAAATATGTTCAATATATTGTCATCTTATTACTAAAGTAAAATTCATGGAAAAGTAATTCAACAAATTTCAAGTAGTTTTATTTTTTTCTTTATTTTTAAGTATTTATCAATGTGATGGTTTCAGTAATTAGATATATTATAAGAGAATGAAGGTTTCAATGATAATGGCGATGAAAATGTATGCTTTTTCATACGAGTTAATTCCATAATCAGACACATTTTTAAAGATATATGTTATAATATAATGTACCAAGGGTACATTTCATTTATTCTATCCTATAGAACAAGTAATAAATCTGGAATATTAAGTACAGAAATCATGCTGCAAATCCAGCATGTTGACTGTATGAAATTGAGTTTTAGTGTGACGTATCAAAGATGTGTTTCGCTACTTAGATTACATTTCAGTGTTTTTTATAAATAATAATTCAAAATAGGAAGCCAATCATTCGAAAGAGAAAACAATTACAAAAAACAACACCATCAACACCTCAAATACTTAACTCCGGCACAGAGTTTATATCCGTTCCGTATATGCTCCACACTAGTCCATTTACTAAGTCTGTATAGATTTACGTTATGATCTCTGCATCGGATGTTGCAAAATACAATAAAATATTTACATTTACTCAAAACTATACTAGTCAACAAAAGTAACGATACACAAGTTTCAACTCCAATTTATCATAAAATATAATAAATAGGAAAAACTGTTAAATTATCCAATGGAAAACATTCATTTGCAAAGCAAATGCATATGATTAAAAGAATCTGACCAAATTGGAAAGTGAGAAAATGACGTGTTATTGAACACCACCTTCACACCAGGGGTCAAATTTATTTTGCGGAAAATGATGACAAAAGTCGGCATTAATTTCGAAGAATAGAATTAAGTATTCAAATATCTGCAAAGGCATTCAAAATTTAAAGCAGACCATGTTTAAGTTTAAAGTTTTAAGTTCTAATATCGATTTTTGGGTGAAATTACAATTTTTGAAATAACAAAAATTGCAAAAAAAAAAGTATTTGCTTAAAATCGATGGTTTTGATAAGAAAATAACACTCTGTAAATAATAGACCATTGGGCAATTATTTACCTTGGTGCAGTGTATCCAATTTCATTATATATGGAAAATACATTACCTTGTATCGTTTCTTTTGTTGACTAGTATATATTATTACCATGATATAATTCAATATACAAATAGTACTTTTAAATATTATGACTTAAACATTTTGTTCTACCACACCCGGATTAAATGACCTGTTGGCATTCAATATCACAACTACATCTTTTAATATCCTTTCAGTGACCAGTTTTGTCGTCATCCTCAATGACATGACCATCAGGTGAGTTTTGATCTGGTGGTATATATTTGAGGTTGTCGTCACCATTTTGTGCAATTTCGTTTGGAATATCCATTGTCTTTTCAGTGATTTCGTCTGTGCTGTTAGAAATTTCCGTTTTGATTGTGTCATTTTATTTTCCTTGTGCCGTACCTTTCGTCAAAATGGGACCATCTTTGTGTAAAAGCAAAGCTGGCCATACCACGAAGTCGATAAAAGGTCCACTTTTTGTATAAACAGAAAAAATGCTCTTGTCTATCGCTGTACCTTTCATTTCGTTAAAGACCAAAGCCATCGGTGGTTCTTTTATCACCATGCTCCAGCACAATTCTGTGCACCGTTCTACAAATTTCAAGATTTGGCTTTTTGATCCCATTTTGTTATACTGCTCAAGTTGGCGGAGTGCCTCCTGTTAAAAAAAAATAAATGCATGCTCCATAACAAATTTTTAATATGTTTGTTAAAGAAAAGTTTTTATAATTACAAAGGAGTAGGATAGATTACACCTAAACATGACTCCCTTTTTCTAGCTACAATTTCAAATAAGAGTTCAACTTAAGGTCAAGATACAGTACATGGGCTATGTAACATATTTTCGTAAAATTTTGCACACAACTTTAGTGCGTTGAACTCTAATACGGGTGTGGATGGGGGTTTACAGAATAGAGAATAATGGGCAAAAGATATAAAGAATAGAGAAAAATGGCCTAAAAAATAAAAGAATACAGAAATGAAGGACCCCCTCCCCCCATCCAGACCCTCTATTATAACTGAAAATGAACAAAGTATTACTGAATAGCTACTTTACTGTAACTTGACCTTAATGCGTTCATTAATAATTCAAACAGTTACTAAATGTGTCAATATTCTATCACATTCAATGTAAATTAACAGGCTAATTACGATGGCTTTAACATATACCATCTACTAGTATATATCAGTAAAAAAAAAGTTGTTTTACAGAATGTTTGTAATAACAATTCACGTGCCTGACTTGAATATATAATTTGTCGAGCTTTTTATAAGACAAATCGTTTTATTATATTTTTAAACATGTTTATGCATCAACTTGAAAAAGTTTCATCTTGAAATAATTAACATCTGATAATTAGGGCCAAATAGAATACTTCCCGCACCGAGTTATACTTTACGACCACTAGGGTTGACTGGGTGAAGACGTATAAAACCATGCTACAGAGGAGGCTACGTTGCGGGATGAATAAATATGCAGTCACGTGATCTGATTGAATGCGTTAAATCCAGTAAGGCAAACAACAAGCAATCCTTTCTTACATTTTTCACTAGAAATTCTATAATCGTCAAACAAAAGTACACCATAAAACTTATACAACAACTAGAATAAAACAAAACATTACACTCTAGCTTAATATGTGGTCATTTCTTTTGAAACAAAGCGTGGTCACGATAGGTCTTTGATAGGCATTTGGTATCTGTATTCATACATACAATATATGGATGCATATATACAAATGTCTTCCAAATTAGATATACATTACCTAAATGTCCACGCATGTTTGATGAAGACTGTCCCCCCAAGTTTTAATCTTGTCAGCCATTGTAGCCTTGGTTTATTGAACTTAATAAAAAGGTACCACAGATACCGTCTGCTTCATGTCTTGTCTTACATCTAGCTATTTACAAGAAATGATTTTAATTTTTCCATAATTAATCTTTCATAGCTCAAGAAGCATTCATGGAGCGTCTGCATATGAAGAATAATATATCTTCCAATTGATACGATATTCAAGGTCTTGCGTTTTCTATCTATAATAATCAATATCTACTCGATGGAGGATTATAAGGTCATATTGTACAAAAAAACCTCCAAGTGGCAAAGTTGAAGTTTCCCTTCGAGAAAGTTTCACGGACGCCATCATTGTGAGTTGACCGTTATGAAATATCCACTTGTACTCATAATCTGTACCAAATAAGGACACAAAAATTTCTGTAAAAGGCACTTTGTATGGTGATCGGTCTTAGTATGTCTCTACGTTTTCATTTGTTAAACTCTTTAATGAACTGTATATCATTTTCCCATTCGACATATTTAAGCGTGCAATATATGCAATATAATTAAATTTTATTTAGATATAGTTAGAAAAAAATATGAAATACCTGTTTCACGCATTCCAATAAGTCTTTATCATACTTTCGTCTTTCATGAACAATTTCGATCAATTCCTCCATGCATTTCAGTATAGATTGTAACTTGTCGTTATTTATTCCCTAAAAGTAACAAAAGATAAATTAAGTTCAAATTGAGTCCTAAAAACCACTGCAAAGTATTATAAAGAAAACTCTTCAAGTCAATTGTACCTGAAAGAAAATGACAAAATACTGATCTACCAAAATGTAACATATTTTTTTTAAAGTAAAAGGTATAACCTGATATAAAATGATAGAAATTTGAGTCTTTAAAAATTTTTCACCGGTAAACCCTAATACCACTAATGATTAAACCAATCAGAAGCCCCGTGTTATATAAATGACAAACAAGTGAACCGAATGATGACCTGTAGATGTCTTTTTGGTTTATGTCTCGGCGGGTTAACGTTGATGTGTAATTGACGGTAGCTGTTACCTTCCAACAATTATTTTTTTAGCATAGGTTTTTACAACATATTTGTTTATTCAAATATGACCATGTTGACAACATATACATGTACATATTTTTTTTTCAATTCGGTGAAAAATATTTGAATATTAATATACAAAAACCCAGATAAGAAGGTCTAATGGCATTTCAATTCTCTTGTGTGGTACCATTCTTCTTGAGGTTTTGTTTTAAGCCTATATTTTTGCATTTTCCTCTTACACAAAAAGGTCCCAAAATAATCGAAGATTACCATCTATCTGTCTGAATGAGGCAAATGATAAAACCAAGTCACAACTTGAGTTTCAAACATTTTCAAGTCGATTCACAAATTCCTGTCCCAGGGGTTGTATTCTTTAGTTTAGAAGACCAGCGTATCAGTAGTTTTAAAGATGAAAAACATCAATATAAATGTTGTTTCAATGTTTTGTGACTCTTACCCCTGTATATATTAGGAAAAGGAAGATCGTCTAATGAACGGCCACCAATATTCATATTCCCTGTTTGTTTGAAATACAAAATTCTCCTTCCATTCTACATAAATGAGCATAAATGTTATTATTACATTCATACTTACATCGTTTGGGGTCACTGTTGCTGCAGGCTGAAATAGGATGCTTATGAAAAAAAGTGTTTTAAAATTTATGAAGATTAAAATTCACAGAATATTAAACTTAACAACTCATCCTTATATATAATTGAACTACTTTCATGTACTCCTAATTAAGCTGCCGAGGATTTGTTAATTTACAAAATATACAATTGTATCAATCGCCATTAGAAATGGGTCGATTTTCACTGAAAATTAATTAGCACACAGCTATTGTGATTATATATTTGTTTCCACAACAGTTGAATACGACAGGAGCTGCATGTGAAGTATGGCACGCTGAATTCCAACGCAATATGACATGCAACATCATTTAAAATTGGTGTACCATGATCAGTTCGTTAACTACAGACTAAAGGGAAAACGGTACTATTTATTCTGCCATAGGCGACAATACTAACATTTTCTAAATTTACCACTTTTTATAATTAAAACCTGGACAAAACAGTTATGTGTGGTGTTAGTACTTTATTATTCTGTTTTAAAAATTGAAGCCAAATAGTATCATGAACAACTTCCAACGGAGCTTGTTTATGTTATCCATGCCCACCGTCATTTTACACCAAATTTATGAAATTTTGGAAGTCTTTTCGAATAATTCTCTAGAAATTATTGCAATGGGTTTCAAAATTTATATTGTAAATATACACACTGCAGTTATTCATAGATAAATAAAAAAATATATTGTACCCTTACATCCAATCACAGCGCTCCTAAGTTGACTTCCTTCACCTGCCTTGGGTACACAAAAGGCCAACCTAATGCTGGGAAAATGTAATAGTACTATTTTCCCTATAGCTGTAGGTCATCATACTAGTTTTTAAAATCAAGAAGATTCTCAATCCGGACTACATTCAACCTGAATAGGTGTTGTCATATCAAGGCATTGCACAAATACAAGACTTTTTTGTATTTTTTTAAAAGTTCCGTTATAAACACTGGCAATGTGATTATGTTGAAATATTGCAGACTACTTAGTACCTACCATGCGTAAATAAAAAAAATCGAATCCAAAATAGCCTCTTACCTTTTTAAGATTGTCTTTAACAACTTTGTGATACAGGCTCTGCAATCATTAATGAACTTATAGATAAAATAAAACGAGAATATGTCTGGTTAAACATTCGATTTGATTTTCATTTATCAAACTTTGATAATAAAGCAACTCAACTAATGTGAATTTGTCAAAGAAACTGTATATCAAACACAGGGGTCATTTAGGACCCAGCCGGTACATTTTCCCTAATGCAGCAGTTGCAAGAGAAAAGCTTTAATAGATGTTAATGCCAAGCGGATAGTGCATCAACCACATCCTGGGTAAATTTATTTCGCTTATACTGGTATATGAAAACGGCCTCTGCTGTGTACATAAAATACAATGGTAATATACTGTAGAAAAAAAAAACAGATGAAAGAGAGGCGAAAGATACCAAAGGAGCTCTTGCTCTAAATAAAATGTTCTCGACAGAGAAGCAGCACATATATAGTTTTGAAGTTATTGGTGCGACCTTGCCTGCTCGGGATCGTTCAGCAATCGATTGTGTAGAGTACATGTAACTTGATCGAAATGATAATTATTCAGCAGTTTTCTATTAAAATTTGAAAGTAAAGAAAAGATCCATATATCTTAGCTTGTGATAAATGCATGCTTACAGTTTTAGTAGCAGATACCAACTGGTCCGATTTTCGGTGAAGACAGCATGCTATGTCCCACACATGTGTTTTGATATCTGCCATCTGTTTCTTTTCAATTTCTTGGCAAATATTGAAACATTTCTGATTTACAAAATTGAATAAAATAAAGTCAGTAGAGACTGTAGATGCTAGCAAGTAGAATTAATGTTTTTAAACCCCCCCCCCCCCACCCCCACCCCCCCTAAAAAAAAGAACATAACAAAATAAAAAGAAATATCATTTCAAAATAGAAAATACAAATTTAACATATTAAGTTCTTATTACTTCTCATACGGAGATACATTTTGTTTGTAACAGATTACCAAAAGATTTCCAAAGACCAAGTAAGATTTCTTCTTAATGCATGCGACTTATTGTTTATACCATTTACTCAAAATGTTTGATTCTGTTAAGCTTTGCAAGTTAATATGTAGTTGAGAGAAAAACAATTTTCCCCGTCAGACCCTTTCAATTATTTCTTTAATGTACCTGAACAATTGAGCACAGTTCCTTTTCAATTTTACAGTTTTCATTTTCCATGAATGTTTGAAATTCATCGAAGGCATCTGTCCATTCATCAGTATACAAACTGGACCATTTCTCTGCAAGTTTGGTTGGCCTATTAGCATCACTAAGGTCAGTTATATCACTGTTTCCTTTTGTGAGTTGAATGCCAGCTATTTTACTTAGTCTAAAAACAAATGATGGTAAAACTCTATTGGTTATCTTGTATTATTTCACAATATGCTGTATTGTATGTTTTGTATTTAATGTAGGTTTGAGAATAATGCAGAAAATGAATTCTGAATGGCATTGTAATAATCACATATATAACTTTACGTTTTTTTTTATAGATATCTTTTTCATGCAAAAAAAGCAAGAATTTATTCATAGCATTATGGATGGTAGTCCTTTTTAGCTCATCACTTGGCGTCTGTCGTCTGTTGTTGTCGACGTCGTTCGTTGTTGTGAACTTTTACAAAAATCTTCTCCTCTGAAACTACTGGGCCAAATTTAACCAAACTTGGCCACACTCATCATTAGGGTATTTAGTTTACAAAATGTGTCCGATGACCTCGCTTGTTAACCAACATGGCCGACAGGGGGGGAGGGGAATGCAAATTTTGTCTATTACCTTGAAAATCGCTATTTATAGAAAAATCTAACAGGAGCTAAAATGTTAAAAATGATGATATATACCTATTGATTATTTACATTAGAACTGTCAGACGATTTCTTATAGGAGTTATTGCCCTTAAATGATGAATGTTCTTCATTTTTGCCTATCATGTTGCAAATTATTATAATAATAGATAGAGAGAAACTTTAAGTAGCAAAAATGATCAGCAAGACAAGATCTGCAAATTAATCTGATTAAAATCTTCGAACGACTCCTTACAAGAGTTATTACCTTTTAATGACAATTTTTACATTTTTTTTTTTGTGTTTTAGCCAAATATCTGAAAAATCTTAATAGATAGATAGAAACTTAGATAAGAAAAAATTATCAGCAAGACAAGATCTACAAGTAAGTAAACTGATTCAAAACGTCTGACTGTGCCTCATTTGAATTGTTACCTTTTAATGACGATTTTTACCAATTTTTTACGATTTTGTCTAATTTATGAAACAAATATAATAGATAGATAGAAGCTTAAATAAGCAAAAATGATCAGCAAGACAATATCTACAAAAAAGTCTACTGACCGAAGTTCATTCCTTATTGGAGTTTTGCACTTTAATGATGATTTTTACCAATTTTTATTGTTCTGTAACTTATAAGGAAAACTAGTATAGATATATAACTACTTTAGATAGCAAAAATGCTCAGCAAGACTAGATATATGAATAAGTCAACAGAGCTGAAATGGTCAGTTAACTCCTTATTGGAGCTCTTTTTCTTTAATGACTATTTTTATCTATATTTTAAGTGTTTGCCTATTATCTTGAAAACTATAAAGATAGATAGACACTTTAAATAACAAATGATCAGCAAGACTATATATATAAATCAGTCAACAAAGCCGACTGTTAAAGACGCACATAGACCTACGTGAGAGACATAGTCTCTTTAGAGCCTCTAGTTTAAAGAAGTATGTTAAATTAAATTGGTTTTTAAAATGATAAAACAAACTGAGATAGTATGTCATATATGACGATAAAGCTTTATGCATTTACATATTCCTTTGTGTTGAATAATGTTAATTTTGCAAAATAATATAAATGCAATTCTACAAAACAACATTTGTGGTTTTTGATAACACAGGGTCTACTCCACTATTATAGACCAGTAGTCCTCAGATGTATTATCCGCCCAGTAAAGTAAACGTCGTGTTCGATAAAATGTCCAGTCCCTTAAATCTTCACTGAAACATTCATTAACTGAACTAAACTTTTCTGTCTTTGGTTTTATTTATTTTGGCTTTCTTAACTTATTATCATAAATATAACTAATACAGTGTAAAGAAATTTTGAACATCCGATTCCATCATAGAAAAGACGATTATATTCTGCGATATTAAAAGAGAGGCGAAATTTTATTATAGTATACCTAGAAAGAGCGTTCTCTTTTTCATTTGAAAGAATTGTATTGTCTTTCGTCAGTATTTGGTTCTCCTGTTGTTTAACATCAAGTTGTTTCCCCAATACCATGTTTTCATGCTTTAAAGTCGACAATTCTTTTTTTAATCGTTCTTGTTCAGCCAAACACTCAATGAATGTTGCGTGTGTAGTCCTATTCGCCTCCTGTACTATTTGCTCGTTCTCTTTTAACTTGTCAATATCGACTTTGAGTTTCTTTTGTTCTGCTAGAAAGTTATCAACAACAATCCTGCTGTCGTCATCGGAATAGAACTTGGATCTAACAGATTCTATCATTGGATCGCGATGTTCTTTCGAGTAACTCCAATCATTGCCCATTACTATTTAAAAAAAACACGAAACATAAGTATGGTCAAGTCACCACATATTTTTGAGGGGAACCAGTAGTAGCAACTTGGACTGCTGGCATTTTTCGTTTAAATGAACAAATCGTTAACTGAAAAACGAAAATTATTCATATATTAGCGTAAAATATTATAATTAATTTACCTATGATACATGAGATAAAAAGAAGTTTTATAATTTTGGTTTAATACTTACATCATAGCGATGCGCATCTATAAATACGGACTAACCCCGACACATGACGATTTTTTACCCTTTTCATGTGTTAGTCAAACACTATAGAAGATAAAGAGAAACTGGTGTACATGTGTAAAATGATCACCTAAAATTACAAAGATCTTCATATAGGACAACAAAGCCAAAATTGTTAATTCTTTTCAAAATACCAATTTGTACCCATTTTTGTACTTTGGACAAAAACGTTGATAAATAAAAAGAAACTGAAGACAGAAAAAAAAATCAGCAAATCAAGTTCATCAAACAGAGATCTTTCATAATTACCGTTCATAACATTTTACAAGCAGTTAGTTATAAACTGCATTACAAGTGCTAGTTTTATTGAAAAAGGTCATGTTATTTGAATAAAACATTTCATTAAAAAAGGAGATGTCATGCTAGGATTGCCAACGAGACAACTATCCAACAAAGACTATGGCGTTGATGTAAGTAACTACAGGTCACCATACGGCCTTCAACAATGAGCAAAACCATACGTATAGTAAACTATAAAGGGATCAAACATGACAAAATTACAAGAGATAAAACCACAGGCCTGATTTACAATAAAACAATGAACGAAAAAGCAATCTGATAGACAGTTATCAAAGAAAACCACAGAATAACAGGCTCTAGACTTAACCAGTGACTAAGAAAGAATGCATGGATGCGAGACCCTCAACGTCAAAAGAAAAAAAGGAAAATCCCATAGGTTGACTAGGCTATATAAATTTGGTCTCATGGACTTCTCATGTCTAGCAGTGAGACCCACACTGAGAGAGTATTTCGTCTGGCTATGAGTGATGTATAAATATGCTGTCACGTCGGATTGTTAAATGCAACGTATATAGTTAGTGTCATGTTCTCTTCATATGATTATGAGTCAAGGCCTTACTCAAAAATATATTTTGCTATGCAAGATGTCTTAAACAAATGTTAATGTGGGTAAAATGTCTATTAAGGTAAGGCCTTGACTCATTTCTAATTTGCCAAGAGATGTGTGTAAAATGGCTATTTCATATAAAGTTCTATGTTGTGATGTTACACTATTGTTTCAGAAAAAGGGTGAGGTTTGGTACCATTAAAACGTTTAAACCCGCTGCATTTGTTTGCACATGTCCTAAGTCAGGAATCTGATGTTCAGTAGTTGTCGTTTGTTGATGTGGTTCATAAGTGTTTCTCGTTTCTCGTTTTTTATATAGATTAGACCGTTGGTTTTCCCGTTTGAATGGTTTTACACTAGTAATTTTTGAGGCCCTTTATAGCTTACTGTTCGGTGTGAGCCAAGGCTCCGTGTTGAAGACCATACTTTGACCTATAATGGTTTACTTTTATAAATTTTGACTTGGATGGAGAGTTGTCTCATTGGCACTCATACCACATCTTCTTATATCTATCTATATCTACACGGTAATGGAGTCATATTAAAGTGACACCACGTACAAGTGACGTCTTAGCACTAATTTGCAATATATTTAACTTTTGGTCCTACTTCCTCCTTTGGTTATCTTTATTTTACCAAATTCGCGGATGCTAAATCGACTGTATGATGTATACACAGTCACATGCGATTTGAATCCACATGTACAAAAATCAAACACATGTTTGGGAGTTTTTCATATGAGCACAGGTAATGTTGAGGACGCTATCTGAACTGAAACTGAAAAAAACTCAAACAAAAGTGTGAGGTATGACACATTGTAAACGTAGTCTACCTATCATCTTCGTGGTTAGAGTTACTGTGTCATGTGAGAAATAGAAGAGTGGAGCACTAAATAATATAATCGTTTGAAGATAGTTTTTACGCCAGTGTCAAGGAACATTTTTAATTAATATTGATTTTTACTTTACTTTGAGAGGTTAATTACTTAAACTTGAAAATATTACTGCTATTCAAAATTTCTAATAAACCAACTCTTTTTCCGAGAATATAAGTTTAATGCATTTCCGGTCTATTAAATCTATTTAGAACCGTTATACATGTACGAGTTAAATTTAGAAATTCTTGGAAATTGTCCTTTTAAACAGTGTTGTTCTCCAGCATATCATGTTTAAATTATATGACCGTAACAATCTCGGTTAAATATTGTAATAAAACTAATCAGGAAAGTATGTAATGAAAGGTTGTATTTTAAATACGATTAAAACACATTTTGGTAATTTAAGCACATCAACTTCCTATGTAATACATTCATTATAATAAACCAATGGAATCTGCTGGTTTAATAGTATTGTATAAAGAAGGAATATATGTAGGCGATCGTATTATATGTTACATCAAATGCAATAGAAGCACAATGGGACAATTTATTGATTTTTCCCAAAATAACCCTAACCCACAGATCTCAGATCCAGTTCTAATTGGTTACATCTGATGTATTCTTTATTTCAAGTAAAGAGGATATTTTCAAATAGCATAATCATCAAACTTTTAATTATGACATTTTATAAAATGAGCAGGTAGTTTGATATACCAAAGAAAACGATGATTGATTGTTGTTTTCTTAACACCAGTGGCAAATATTTCATGCATATTCAAGACGAGAACTAATTAAACACCCTCTCTATTCGGTAGGTTCTGCAAACTTGGTTGACAAAGATGAAGGACGGAGATTAAGAAAACGAGGAATGTTGGCTAAGACCATATATTTTTCCATGAAATAAATCACCACAGTGGCGGATCTAGAAATTTTCATAAGTGGGGGCCCACTGACTGCCTAAGGGGGGAGGGGGGCCGCTCTAGTCATGCTTCAGTGATTCCCTATATAATCAACCAAATTTTTTCCAAAAAAAGGGGGCCCGGGCCTCGTCCCCCCCCCCTCCCCTAAATCCGCCTCTGTCACCATCGCACACTCTCAAAGAGTTCTTACAATAGTTCTCTTTGATGTTAAAATCCGTACCACTCTCATCACACGTGGCTTTACGCTTCACATTTCCATTCTAATTAGACCATGACTGCATATTTTCGGTGTCTTCTGATTATGTAGTACAATTTATTTAACGATTTACATTGAAATGAAATTAAATTTAATACTGAAAAACTTTGTTTTAATTACATGAACATAAGACGATAACCAGGAATCTTCATTCAAAAATTAACAACTGTCGATTATTTTCAAAACTAAAGGATTACAATCTGATTGTTTTTTTTCTTAACAAAAAATTGAATTATCTATAGCCCTTTACAATGTGTAAAGCCATGGTTCCAATTACTTCAAGTTAGCTTAACAATAGAAGGTATATGTAGTTGGATAGATCTTAAATAAAATTGAGATGGAAATGGGGAATATGTCAAAGAGACAACAACCCCGCCGACCAAAGAGCAGACTTATATAGATACAACTTAATACCAAATTGTTTGGCAGTATTCACGTTCGTTTTAAAAAAAATAAAATGCTTCGCTGGGCGCAGCTTGATACGACCTCAGAGGTCGAACCCTGAACAGTTGGGGCAAGTATGGACACAACATTCAAGCTTGATACAGCTCTGAATTTGAATTGTGATTAAATATTTGACACAGCATAGGTTTCTGACACAGAAAGAATGTGGTCTAAGAACTTGAATTTTTTTAATTTACCTATTATGGTCCAATGTCCAAAATCAAAATACATGGTTAGATTCAGCATATCAAAGAACCCCATATATTCAATTTTTGTTGAAATCAAACAAAGTTTAATTTTGGACCCCAACTTAGACAAACTTGAAAACTGGGCCCATAATAAAAAAAATCTAAACACATGTTTAGATTCAGCATATCAAAGAACCTCAAGAATTCAATTTTTGTTAAAATCAAACTAAGTTTAATTTTGGACCCTTTGGACCTTAATGTAGACCAATTTAAAAAACGGGACCCAAAATTAAAAATCTAAATATACTGTTAGATTTGGAATATCAAAGAACCCCAAAAATTCAATTTTTGATGAAATCAAACAAAGTTTAATTTTGGACCCTTTTGACCTCAATATGAACCAATTTGATAGTGGGGCCCACAAATAAAAAATCTAAATACATGGTTAGATTCAGCATATCAAAGAACCCCATATATTCAATTTTTGTTGAAATCAAACAAAGTTTAATTTTGGACCCCAACTTGGACAAACTTGAAAACTGGGCCCATAATAAAAAAAATCTAAACACATGTTTAGATTCAGCATATCAAAGAACCCCAAGAATTCAATTTTTGTTAAAATCAAACAAAGTTTAATTTTGGACCCTTTGGACCTTAATGTAGACCAATTTAAAAAACGGGACCCAAAATTAAAAATCTAAATACACGGTTAGATTTGGCATATCAAAGAACCCCAATAATTCAATTTTTGATGAAATCAAACAAAGTTTAATTTTGGACCCTTTTGACCTCAATATGAACCTATTAGATAGCGGGCCCACAAATAAAAAATCTAAATACATGGTTAGATTCAGCATATCAAAGAACCCCATATATTCAATTTTTGTTGAAATCAAACAAAGTTTAATTTTGGACCCCAATTTGGACCAACTTGAAAACTGGGCCAAAAATCTAAAATCTAAATACATGTTTAGATTCAGCATATCAAAGAACCCCATATATCCAATTTTTGTTGAAATCAAACAAAGTTTAATTTTGGACCCAAACTTGGACCAACTTGAAAACTGGGCCCATAATCAAAAATCTAAACACATGTTTAGATTCAGCATATCAAAGAACCCAAGAATTCAATTTTTGTTAAAATCAAACTAAGTTTAATTTTGGACCCTTTGGACCTTAATGTAGACCAATTTAAAAAACAGGACCCAAAATTAAAAATCTAAATACACGGTTAGATTTGGCATATCAAAGAACCCCAATAATTCAATTTTTGATGAAATCAAACAAAGTTTAATTTTGGACCCTTTTGACCTCAATATGAACCAATTTGATAGCGGGGTCCACAAATAAAAAATCTAAATACATGGTTAGATTCAGCATACCAAGGAACCCCATATATTCAATTTTTGTTGAAATCAAACAAAGTTTAATTTTGGACCCCAATTTGGACCAACTTGAAAACTGGGCCCAAAATCAAAAATCTAAATACATGTTTGAATTCGGCATATCAAAGAACCCCATATATTCAATTTTTGTTAAAATCAAACAAAGTTTAATTTTGGACCCTTTGGACCTTAATGTAGACCAATTTGAAAACTGGACCCAAAATTAAAAATCTAAATACACGGTCAGATTCGGCATAACAAATAAATAAATGTGGTCAAAGATTTTACAAATCTAATGCGCCATACTGTGCAATTAAAGATTACTTCTTGAAATTTTTCAATATTTGAAATTTGAAAAAAAAAATAACATTTGAAGAATAATTCTTTTTAATTTCTGAAATCTGAAATGAGAAAAAATTGACCCCCCACAATTTCTTTTTACCCCCCTTTTTTTCCCCCAAAAAATTCTTTCCCTCAAGATATGGTCATAATCTCAATTCAAATTTCCAATGGAGTTTGAAACCATAATTACCCATTTAAATTAACCATAGTGCTAACTTAATCTATTTCATAATAGAATTTAAAAATATAGTGTCAAATCTTTCATATGGATTTTTTTGTAAAAAAAAAAGATGCAACATTTGCAGATATTTTTACTGGTCTTCCTTTATAAATATGCATTTCTTTAAACATAATTTAAAAGCAGTGTAAGGGAAGTAACCAAAACGTTGTATTTGGATTACCTCCCTTACACTGTTTTAAATTATCTTAATTGTTCATCAACCATTACTTTATACATAATTAAAAAGCAGTGTAAGGGAGATAATTTCAATGATGTATTTGATTTATCTCCCTTACACTGCTTTAAATTATGTTTTGTACTAAAGTATTTGTCCATTAACCAGGACAACCTTGTTTTCCCCCTTTTTTGCCCCTTTATTCATAAACGGTTTGAGCCATAACCCCCCAAAGCAAATCCTAACCATCCCTTTGTGGTATGGAAACTTGTAGTATAATTTCAGAGAGATCCATACACCGTTCCACAGTTATTGTCTGGAAACAAGAAAATGCTTACTGTTGGCCCCTTTTTGGCCCCTAATTCCTTAACTGTTGGTACCATAACCCCCAAAATCAATCCCCACCTTCCTTTTGTGGTATTGAACCTTATGGTAAAATTTCAAAGAGATCCATTCTTTCAAACTAAAGTTAAAGTGCGAAAACCAATGTGTCTTCGAACGACGACGACGACGACGACGACAACGTCATACCAATATACGACCGCAAAAATTTTTTGCGGTCGTATAAAAACCAGTATTTTTAATATAGGTCAATGTATTATTATTGATTGTAAGGTGAAATTGGTAAAAAGAAATATGGCAATAAATTTTGTAAAAACGTTTCAATGTGTTTCTTAACTTTGAAAACTATAACGTTATTTCTGTGCACCGTGTTTTTTTTCTTTCAAATACGACCTCAAACTCCTTCAACTGAAAAAGTCCGTTTGAGTTCAACAAATCTTCAAAGATAAATTAATAAAAATATGATGTAGCTGGATTTGCATCTCATCGTTTTTCTTATTTTTCGTTGACTTTTGACAATTTTGCTAAATTATTTTGTTAAATGAATGAAAAAAAAGTCTCTTTAGTCAATATGTTTTTCGCAATCCAACCTATACGTACAAAGGGAGGTTCAGTTTATGATCAATTGACATTAGCAGTACCATTCACTGAAGTATAAATAGAAAGACTCTAGATCAAGATGATCTGCTTTCATATTTAAATTATGTTGTGTAGAATGATGAATGGAACACCAGTGTTGTGTAGAACTATGAATGTGCCAAACCTGAAACGGACATTTAACGTGGGTTTGCCATTTTAACATGATAATTCAGAAAAAAATGAAGTTTTTGCGATCTTTTTGACCCGACCGTTTGCCTTAAACAGCCACATTTCCGGTCATAAAAGTGACATGGTGAATAAGTGCTATCAAAACAAACCCTACTTTAATACCCTCTCATTACAATCAAGGTTGTACGACTTTGCCCCCCGCAGAGCTATAGAAAAACAGTACATTAACGGGTGTTACACGGACTCTTTTTAGATGATACACGGACTCTTTTTAGTTGTTACACGGACACTTTTTATGAATAGATTCACTCGTGCATGATCAGTGAGTTCATGGGCACTTTAACTTTCAATTAGATTTGAACTTTTTGGTTCACCGACATATTTCCTGTCTTTTTATTAAACAAACTATTTACGTTAGCATCAATATCTTTTTTCAAACATTTTCAGTAAAATACTATTCATATCAGTACACTAAGGGATTAGACATTTAACTTCAAAAAGAGGGGGGGGTATGGTTTTCTCCTAAAAAAAGATATTTTGATCCCAAATTTTATGAGAAAAAATTTACTATGGTCAAGCAGATGACATATTAATGTTCTGCATGATTCCTGATTTTCCGAATACCGTATAGTGCTAATTTAAACAAAAATATTTGGGTGATGGCGTTGAAAAGTAAATAGTTTATATACTCAGAAAAGAACATACCGCCCCATTTATGAAGCAAAATAATCGGTCAATAAATGTTTTCTTCGATATATGGACATGAATAGTATTTTGGACAGTGCTGAAAGTAAAGAAATGATGATACCGACGTTCATATTTCAATAAAAAAAGACAGGAAATAAGTAAATTAAAATCAAATCTTATCAAAAGATAAAATCCCTATCAACTCACCAATGCACGATTGATCCTATAAAAAAAAAGTGTTCGTGTAATACACGTCCAAATAAGCAGCAAATCTAGAAGAAAATCATTCAACTTATGTCATCAATTTAGACGGTAAGCTGCGATTGGACCATATAGTAACACGTGTTTAATCCCGATCAACACTTGCAGATCTAGAGACGAGCATGAATTTAAAAAAAAATCAAAGTATATGCCTGAATATATATAATATTATAAATAAGACAAAATCCATTTTTTCATAACATTTCATTCACTAATGAAGTAGGAAATTCAATTTCTTTTGATACATTTATATTGTTATTGAATTTATATATACATATATATCAGTTGCGGATCCAGCCATTTTAAAAAAGAGGGTTTCCAATCCAGGACAAAACAGGGGGGGGGGGAGGGGGGGGATTCCAACTATATGTCCCCATTTAAATGTATTGATCGTTCAAAAAAGGGGTGTTCCAACCCCCGGGCCCCCCACCACTGAATATTGAATTCATGTATTTGGCAACAAACGTGCGATTTTTACGATTTTTTTAAAGGGGGAATGGGGGGATGGAATGGCACATTCTGCATTTTTTCATCAAAATAAAGATCACAGCCTGTTTATTTCAAATTAAATTAGGCCCCCCTCCCCGCTTTCCGTTTCATCCATAAAAATCAAACGTTAGCTTACTTACCACTAAAATATTTCTTTAATATATTACTTTTTTCGAAGTTGCATTTTAAAAAGTCTTAAATGTGTACAACATTCATCTTTTACTTGATATGGTTCTTTTATATCAAATTATTAGATTCTTGATTTTTTTCTTGTAAAAAACTCTCGGTTGAAGGGAAATGAAAAAAAAAAGTGTGTTTATACTATAACTTACATTTACTGCTTTATGGCTATCTAAGTTTCTCAAATGTTTAGTCTTGCAAAATGTATTATTACTTTCTTGAAACGTCGTACAAGTCAGATACAAAACAAAAGTAACAAAAAAACAGGCCGGAAACAACCTGCCGTATAGTTTTTCTGCACTTGTAGTCAGGTCAAGGTCCTCGGCTATCGCCTCGGACCTTGACCTGACTACTCGTGCAGAAAAACTATCCGGCAACGGTTGTTACCGGCCTGTTTCTTTGTTACCTTTGTATTGTATCTAATACATAATTAGTTGTCAGACAGTTGAAATTTACCTGTTCAGGTAACAGGTAAACTAATATGTACCGGACATTGATCGGTCTATTTGAAGTTAATATTTTCGCTGCATATCTACATGTATGATCATGTTTGTTTACATAATTTTGGCTGCTGGATTCCAATTGTTGTCATTGCCAAGTTAATCAATTATGTTCGTTTGGGTTGCTCACACAATTTTTTCAATTTGACAGGACTATAAACAACTATCATACAAGTGGGAGGTTTTATTTACTATGCATAAAAGCTATAAAACCAGTTTTAACCCATCGTTTTCTTCGGAAAATGCCTGCAGCAAGCCAGGAATGTGACAGTTGTTTTCCATTCGTTCCGTTGGTTGATATATATAAAAAATTAGAAGATGTGGTATGATTGCCAATGAGACAACTCTCCACAAGAGACCAAAATGACACAGAAATTAACAACTAAAGGTCACCATATGCCTTCAACAATGAGTAAAACCCATACAGCATAGTCGAGCATTTGGTTTTGTCAGGTTTTATGGACTTCCACTTTTTTGAATTTAGACCTACCTTGGAGTTTGGTATTTTTGTTAATACTTATTTTACTACAACGGTATAAAAAATAATTCAAACTGAACATCGTAATTTGAGGATCTGATTTGTAATGATTTATTGTAGAAAATTTATAGAACTTAACGGATACTAGAAAATTTCATTTTGTAGAAATCAGCTATATTAGAATAAGGAGATTTGGTATAACGGTTTGTCATTATACAACTATCAAAATGACGTGGAGGTAAATAACTTTTTTTCTACTTTCGTTTCATTTGTACGACTTTGCCCCCCGCAGAGCTATAGAAAAACAGTACATTAACGGGTGTTACACGGACTCTTTTTAGATGATACACGGACTCTTTTTAGTTGTTACACGGACACTTTTTATGAATAGATTCACTCGTGCATGATCAGTGAGTTCATGGGCACTTTAACTTTCAATTAGATTTGAACTTTTTGGTTCACCGACATATTTCCTGTCTTTTTATTAAACAAACTATTTACGTTAGCATCAATATCTTTTTTCAAACATTTTCAGTAAAATACTATTCATATCAGTACACTAAGGGATTAGACATTTAACTTCAAAAAGAGGGGGGGTATGGTTTTCTCCTAAAAAAAGATATTTTGATCCCAAATTTTATGAAAAAAATTTACTATGGTCAAGCAGATGACAAATTAATGTTCTGCATGATTCCTGATTTTCCGAATACCGTATAGTGCTAATTTAAACAAAAATATTTGGGTGATGGCGTTGAAAAGTAAATAGTTTATATACTCAGAAAAGAACATACCGCCCCATTTATGAAGCAAAATAATCGGTCAATAAATGTTTTCTTCGATATATGGACATGAATAGTATTTTGGACAGTGCTGAAAGTAAAGAAATGATGATACCGACGTTCATATTTCAATAAAAAAAGACAGGAAATAAGTAAATAAAAATCAAATCTTATCAAAAGATAAAATCCCTATCAACTCACCAATGCACGATTGATCCTATAAAAAAAAAGTGTTCGTGTAATACACGTCCAAATAAGCAGCAAATCTAGAAGAAAATCATTCAACTTATGTCATCAATTTAGACGGTAAGCTGCGATTGGACCATATAGTAACACGTGTTTAATCCCGATCAACACTTGCAGATCTAGAGACGAGCATGAATTTAAAAAAAAATCAAAGTATATGCCTGAATATATATAATATTATAAATAAGACAAAATCCATTTTTTCATAACATTTCATTCACTAATGAAGTAGGAAATTCAATTTCTTTTGATACATTTATATTGTTATTGAATTTATATATACATATATATCAGTTGCGGATCCAGCCATTTTAAAAAAGAGGGTTTCCAATCCAGGACAAAACAGGGGGGGGGGGGGGAGGGGGGGATTCCAACTATATGTCCCCATTTAAATGTATTGATCGTTCAAAAAAGGGGTGTTCCAACCCCCGGGCCCCCCACCACTGAATATTGAATTCATGTATTTGGCAACAAACGTGCGATTTTTACGATTTTTTTAAAGGGGGAATGGGGGGATGGAATGGCACATTCTGCATTTTTTCATCAAAATAAAGATCACAGCCTGTTTATTTCAAATTAAATTAGGCCCCCCTCCCCGCTTTCCGTTTCATCCATAAAAATCAAACGTTAGCTTACTTACCACTAAAATATTTCTTTAATATATTACTTTTTTCGAAGTTGCATTTTAAAAAGTCTTAAATGTGTACAACATTCATCTTTTACTTGATATGGTTCTTTTATATCAAATTATTAGATTCTTGATTTTTTTCTTGTAAAAAACTCTCGGTTGAAGGGAAATGAAAAAAAAAAGTGTGTTTATACTATAACTTACATTTACTGCTTTATGGCTATCTAAGTTTCTCAAATGTTTAGTCTTGCAAAATGTATTATTACTTTCTTGAAACGTCGTACAAGTCAGATACAAAACAAAAGTAACAAAAAAACAGGCCGGAAACAACCTGCCGTATAGTTTTTCTGCACTTGTAGTCAGGTCAAGGTCCTCGGCTATCGCCTCGGACCTTGACCTGACTACTCGTGCAGAAAAACTATCCGGCAACGGTTGTTACCGGCCTGTTTCTTTGTTACCTTTGTATTGTATCTAATACATAATTGTAAAAATTAAAACGAATTAATTGAACTATATGTTAATATAAAAATAAGAAGATGTGGTAAGATAGCCAATGAGACAACTCTCCACCAGAGACCAAAATGACGTCAAAGTTAACAATTATAGGTCACGGTACGGCCTTCAACAACGAGCAAAACCCGTAAGTATAGTTAAACGTCCACAATTTCTTTATAAAATAGGGAGGTGTGGTATGATTGACAATCGAACCACTTCTTTGTTAATTTAAAAAAAAAATTAATTGTTTTTTCACATTTGATTAAACAAATATTGCTTACCAATTGTAGACCAGCTACAGCTGCCTTAATAAACAGGAAGAAATTTAAGGAATTAATATAGATAGTTATGACAACATGATATCACATGATCAATAAGTTATTTAAAGGTCTGTATCATAAAGACAAAAATGACGTAACGGGTATACCTTCAGATCAAATAACTAGCCATTGTCAAGCTATTCATGGTACGCGTCTGAATATCTAAGATGGGCACCGCTTTATGTGAACATTTGCATGTTACACGTATACATACTTAAGTTTAAAGTTCTACAAATACATTCTCGGGGTAAATAAAAAGTCATGTAATTTAGCTGTTATGGGAGAGTTACATGTAGGTCGTACTCCATTGCATATTGAAATCATTTGTTCTATTCTTAATTTTTTACAAAGAATCAATGGTTTAGAAAAGAATCATTTGTTAAAGCAAGCCCTATTCACAAGTATTGACACTCACAAATGTAATAAGTCATCTTGGTATTCTAATATTGTATATATTTTAAGATGTATTGATGTTGATATAGAAAGTTTTGACATTGAAAAGGTTAAAAATATTTTGATTAGCAGATATAGGATTTACTGGAAAAATACTATAGAAGATAATGCAAATGTTAAAAAAGGAAAATTGCGTACTTATTTTAAATTTAAAAACATCTTCAAAAGGGAAGCATATTTTTTAAGTTAATAAATTTCAGTATCGAAAAAGCTTAACTCAATTTAGAATCAGTGCTCATCAGTTAGCTATTGAGAAAGGTAGATATAAAAAAAACGATAAAGATAAAAGATTTTGTGGGCAGTGTAAAAAAATGCAGGTTGAAGACGAGTTTCATTTTTTAATGGAATGCACTGCATATGAAAAGGAACGGAATTTTATTCTTAATGAAGCATGCATTCAATGTAAAAACTTCCCTTTTATTTCAAAGTATGAACAATTTATTTGGTTAATGTCATGTGAGTCTGAAAATGTTAATATGTCAGTGTCAAGATTTATAAGTACTTGTTTTGAAATAAGAGAAAATTTGCATTCCAGTAACTAACTAAATATACATGTAGTAATGATGTAGTTTATCTATTTTTATGTATTAGAGAGGGTTAATATTCTATTTTATTTATTTTCAAACAACATCTGGTATGGAGTATAGTTATTTAATCATTTATTTTTAAGGTAATATATCTTAAACATTACTGTATAATCAATACTATATATATATGTATATGCTCGGAAACGGGCCCTTTAATTGGATTCTATAAATATTCTTATTCTTCTTCTTGTATAAACAGAGACAAAAGGGCGGAGAATGGACTTTGGGTTGGATCAATGGCGGTCGCGGTAAATCTGAAAAAAATGAAGAAAAAAACCCAAAACGTTAATGAGGCATAAATTCAATTTAATTGATAAATTCAACAACTCTTACCGTTATCTTGTTGAACTTATTTCGTTAAATAATCAAGAAATTTTCTTTAATTCTGACGAAATTTACCCAAAAAAACATACTTAAAATCAATCAAATATAAACTATAATAACTATCCTTTCCTAAATTTAGATATTTCAGTTTATCAGGGGAAACTCAACATAAAATTTACGACAAAAGGGACGATTTGTCGTTCTCTACTGTTAATTTTCCCTTTTAGGACGACTATGTTCCTTTGGCACCATCTTAGTGTGTTTATACATCCCAACTTGTTCGCATTCCCCGTGTCTGAAGTGACGTTTTGGATTTCAATGAACGTAATCTATGTATTACTGGTAAATTATCGAGTCAAGGATTTCGTTACCACAAATAACTTAAAACCATTACTAAATTCTTCCATAGATACAAAGATTTGGTTTGGAAGTTTGGCTGTTCCTGTAGAAGACTTATAACAAACGTGATAGGCCATCCTAATTTTTACGGTGATGTTGTTTACCGAGCCCGTATATTTAGATACGATACGCGTAAACTTATCGATTCTTTAAATAATAGAATAGAAAATAGAAACGGGAAATGTGTCAAAGAGACAACAACCCGATCAAAGAGCAGAAAGCAACTCAAGGCCACCAATGGGTCCTAAGAGCAGCGGACTTCAGCTGACCCCATTTACAATATACTAGTTCAGCGAAATGGGCGCTAAACCCCGAAACATACAAATGAATTAAAAATAAAAAAACACAACACTAACAATGGCTAGAGGTTCCCGACTTTGGAAAGGCGCAAAAATTCGGCGGGGTTAAACATGTTTTGTGAGATCTCCACCCTCCCCTATACATTTACTCAATGTGGAATAGACAAACACACAACAATAAGCACAGTAAAACACAGTTCAAAAGAAATCCGAGTCCGATTTTAGAATAGGTAACAGGAGAAACTAAGCAAAATGACAATGATCAACATACAATTTACAAAGGACTACTAGCAGTTACTGACATGCCAGCTCCAGATTTTTATACACGGATCGAAACTTTATATCTTCATCATATACAAATCTACCACAATCCCTCCCATTAGGGGTTTAGTAGCATGCCATCATAAATTATACGAGAAAAACATAACCCGTATCATGCCAACAACTGGTTGTAGAATAAATGTGTTTATTTCCGATGCAAAGACCCTATGCGTGAATCAATATTAATTCAAATAAATGCAATCTTTAATGACTTGACAACAGTATCGTAACTATATCGCTTGTGAATTAGTCTGCTAACATATTTGGTAAGCTTTTGAGGTGAATAACGACATTTTTGTGCTTTTTATAGAAAGTTGCCGTACAAGATGGGATGTTAAATAAAAAATAAGAACTATAACAAATACATAAACGTACAAGATGTCTGCACGTTGATTTATATTTACAAATAATGTCCTTGTACCGATGATAAAATTTATGCACATTAACGGTTCTACAATCTGTCGATAACTAGTATAATTTGGCATTGCACAAGGTCATGTATTTCTCTTACTGTTAATGACGTCTTTACACTAAATCCATTGGATGTTGAATGTGTAACGATTAACATTTTTTAGTCTAAGAGACATGCTTTTTGTAAGTTGTTGTTGGCTTTGAACTAGCTTTCTGTAACTGCGAGAACCCTCAGATCTGTACCTTGTGTATTTTGTGTTTTTGTTAGATCTAACGGGTTAAGCCCTTTTCAATTGATTTTTTATAGTTTGGTCTTATGTTGTACTCTAATATCACTGTCTCACATTAAGGAGAGGGTTATTGCTCCAGCAAACATGTTTAACCCCGCCATATTCTGTATGTGCCTGTCCCAAGTCAGAAGCCTGTAATTCAGCGGTTTTCGTTTATTGCTGTATATCATATTCGTTTTTCGTTTATTGTTTTAAAATAAATCAGGCGTTAGTTTTCTCGTTTGAATTGTTTTACATTTGTTTTACATTTGTCATTTTGAGGCCTTTTATAGCTTAGGTATGGGTTTTGCTCATTGGTGAAGGTCGTTTGGTGACCTATAGTTGTTAACTTCTATGTCATTTGCCTCTGGTGGATAGTCGTCTCATTGGTAAGCATACCACATCTTCTTATTTTCATATTATGAAACATCAAGAATGTATATGACTTGTTATCCTAGTCAGAAACTAGACGAGATACGATGCAAACCTTATTGAAAGGATATTAAAATCTAGAAAAAAAATAAACTAAAAAACAGAAATAATAATAAAAGAAAAGACGACGACTGCTGAAGGCCGTACAATGAACTGCGGTTTCTTACATCTGTTGCAATTGGTCTCTTGGATATGTTTGTTTCATTGGCAATCGCACCACATCTTCTTTTTTTTTTACTTTTGTAATATAAAAAAATAACTCAATGTTATTAGTTTTATCCACCGGATTGAAGAGTATTTTATCAATGTTTAATATAAACATAAATACTTTATCATTTTTTATGTTAACATTTAATTGTTTAAAACAATTTCAATTTTTGATTATCACACTCGTAATATTACACTGCAGTTTGATTTGCAACGAAAATCTTTTGAGGTCCATACATAGCTTTTGAGAAGTCGGGTTTTGATGCGTGTTGAACAACCATAGAAGTTTTATTTCTACCTATTAAAATACGGTCATCAAAATTTGAAACCCTTGGCCTCGGACTCTGGTGGACGGTAATTTCCTTTGCATTAGCAAAATTATAACTTAATGGTTGCTGACCATGGAAGTGAGGTGAAACTCTATCATTGAGTATCATATTTGCTTTTTCGTTGTAATAAATGATCCCCTGTCTTTGTGGTTCTCTAGCATTTCCAGAACTCTTGCTAAGTCTGTCTAGTCGCATGGATGAATAATGCTTATCCGGAATTCTTGATGAATAACCTCTAGATTCATGATCTCTGTGTGGATTTGGGGTTTGTCCGCGAACTGTTTTGCTCATTACCCGAATTCTGCTTTCATGTGCAGGTGGTGTTGGCGTTGGTTTATAACCAGGTGGACTGGTATATAATTGTATTGGCTGTACTGCCCCTTTTGCTAAGATTGGTCCATGTTTATGTATCAGTAAAGCAGGCCAAACTACATACTCAGCAACGCTTCCATTCCTGTCATAAAGATTAAATTTGCTACGATCAATCGGGTTACCTTCAATGTTTTCATACTCCAGCACAAGTGGTGGCTCATTGACGCACATGAACCAACACAATTCGGCACATTTTCTTGTGAAGTCGAGAACTTTAGGCAGCTGTATTCCTTTTTGTGAGATATGAAAAACAAGTTTCTGAAAAGAAAATACATTCAATTACATTTGAAGACATTTATTTGAAACAAATATTGTCATTTAAAGAAATAAATTGAACACGCGTGTATCATCAGCTCTGTAGTCTGTGAAGTTAGCTGTGGAATTTTCGTCTGTTTCAAAAGCTTAAATGAAAAATATAATGTCTTTTTACTAGCATGCTTAATAACATTATAAGTTGATGAATGAAGAAATTATTAAGAAACTAAGTTTATAACCCCTATAAGACGCAATTGACCTTAGAAAAAATCTTTCTTTTTGGTCAAAAAGCTCCTAAAGTTTGTAAATATTTGTATATCCCTGGCATTCAAATGTTTTGGTTCTGGCGTTTCTGGTGAAGGTAAATTATAAAAAAAAGCGCTTCGGACGAACGAAATTTAGAAAGCATTATTTTAATTAACTTCTTGATGCCTTTTGATTAAATGGTTGGGTTGCTATTTTTTCATATATATACTATTACCCTTTGGACGGATTGAATCCAATCGGTATCATGTTTCCTTCTTGTTTTATAATTACTTAGTACTTCATCAATAAACATTTCACCAAGTCTGGTTGGTCGAGTAGATGTTGGTGATATCATAGTCTGAATTATAATATTGAAAATGAATCTCAGTAAAAATTGATTTTTGGTAATAATTAGACTTTTAAGAGTTATTTATTAAACATATTATATTCATTACTTTGCCTATACAATTTTGATCTTTATCCATTATCTGATGTGAAGTATTTACTGTCTTAGAATGATTGTATACTAGTTTTTTACAATACCACAACTCTGCCAAATATTCTGCCTGTTTAATGACCGGGCCCATGTCTATTAAATATGCCCTTCATATTTTGAATTCAGTCCAACAAATTTAGTCCTTTTAAGGGGTGTTTCACTACCCATTTGGGATTCGCACAGGACTGTGATCACTGTACTTCCAAACATATATATCATTCCATCAGCGCAATTCGAACACACAAGCTATTGATACATCAGCTGTCACGCCCCTATATCAGCACATTATATTTAATTGTAGGGCTTATGAACTAGAACTATGATTTATTTTATACACAATTGTTGCAATTTACGATTTGGGCAAACATCAAATTTCAATCTCCTTCAGAAAAAGTTGACTATAGACGATTTTAGCAATCCTTTAAATTAATCTTTTAATACAAATTTGATTTAAGAAAATCACTTCCAAAGAAGCAAATTGAGTTAACTTTTACATTATTTATTAGTCTTGTTTCACAGTAATTTTATGTTATGTTGTCTCAGAAACATGTACCGTTCTTTTAAAAGCTAATTTGATTATGTTGGGAATATTGTTTAGGTCAATTTCAATATAGTTAAGAACCCTATTTCTCTCTATTGGCGAGTCGTCAATGATGTAATGTTCAAATCCATTCATGGAAAATCTGGCCTTTTGTATTTGGTCTTCAGCAATCTCATGACATTTCTTGTAGCATAACTAAAATACATTCAATGATAATGTAATGACAATAAAACCTTATATTTATTTTGTAATCAAAGTTTGTTAGTAGCATGCCATTAAAGTACCGACAGCAACTAGTTCAGAGCAGACTTTAATTATTATAATTACAGATGGAAAATTTTCGATATTAGTGTCTTTATTTAGATATGAATAAGAAGATAAATTATTATAACTTCAGTATGTATTTAATAATAATAATAAAATGAAAATAGATAAATATATATAATAGGAGCTAAATCAAGTTTAAATCTTTTTGCTTTTTGTCGATATAACTAGTGTAGAATATGGAAACTCGTTGAAAAAATAAAAAATCGACGTCAGCTACCATAATATATAAGATATACGATAACGGGGCTGTTTTATATTTTCGCGTCAAAACAGTCAAGTGAACAACTTTTTCCTATAGAGTCATTCATATAACGCAGTATGTTGACTTAGGAATCTTATGTTACACAGCAAATGTAAGTATATGACTAAATAAATTGAACATGCGAAAAAAGTATCAAACAAATTTCAAATCAACATAAAACGGAGCTAAGGCTTAATCTTAAAATGAATACTAAATGATGAAAACTGTATTCTAAATAAATAAAAAAAAAAACAAACATCAATAAAAGCTTAGTTCAAAGGACAATCTTGTTTACCGCAACAATATCCAGAAGCTGCCTTTCGATAGTTTTCGGTTGGTTTCGTTGTGCGTCGTGTCGTAGTTCCTCATAAGCATCAGCCCATTCGTCAGTGTATAGGGACGTCCATTTTTCTCCAAGCTTTGTTGGTCTGTTTTGGTCACTCAAATCAGCAATACCTGGATTTCCTTTCGTCATATTGTCACCTGCTATCTTGCTCAGTCTGTATAATTGATAATGAAAACGCTTAATTTATGGAATGGCATATAAATGAATTACAAAGAGGTTAATCCGAAATTACACACTGGAAGTGTCGTCTGTTTCTAAAAGAACAGCATTGTATATTAATGAAACTGATATGATGGGATTATTCTTAAGTTATCAAAGATAGCCTGCATGTCGTTTGTTATTAATATTATATGCCACTGCAATCCCCATATCTTGGAATGTACATCAACCTAACAGAACTTTACTATAAAGGCGAAAGCTTTTTCAGGTCGATTACTAACTTAAATTGCATTGTATGATTGTTTGCATGGAAATATATAAACAAAATTCTTTGACTTCCCGTCTTCGTTTGAAATGGTACTTAATTAGATGTATTCTAAAAATAGTTGAACCCTGTAAAAGTTGCATGTGCTGGTCTAAAATCACAAATCTCCACAGTGTTTGCTTGTGTCACATCTATCTTTTATTTGGAGAACTTGATTTTGACTGATTGATTGATTCAAATTTAACCCCACTGTTAGCACTATTATGTAGGGGGCAGTATTTTTTGGCGGAGGAACCCGGAGTGCCTGGAGAGAATCACAGACCTTTGGTAGCAAAACTGACAATCCTACTCCATTTAGATTGCAGTCGAGCGCACCTGCCACGTGCGGGATTTGAACTCACAACCTCAATGTTGACAGGTTAGTGATACAGGATGGCAGATCTCTGTTAGTCGATAACTTTTGGTAATTTGTGTCGTTGAGTTACTCTCCATTGTTTTTTCGTATCCAAATCTACCCATTTATTTATGCATTTGCTAAATGTTAAGGTGAGTGGTTTGTTCTCTAAAATATTATTCAAGGTGAACTTATCAAGAAAATCTTTTGTTAAGGGAATTAGCAGTCACCATACCGTCTGAGAAGGTCATCCTTATCTCTTTTCAGAATAGTATTTTCTTCATACAAGTCTTTATTTTTCTTCTCCAACCTAGAATACCATTCTTCTTGAGTTTGGAGTTTCTTTTCCAATTCATGAAGCCTTTCTTTCAAACTTTCCTTGCCTCCACTTCTTAACCGTTTAAAAAGTTTTGCCATCAGAAGAGGCCGTCTTTGGATTAAAAAAAAATATGAGTATACAATTCTATGGATTGATACAATGTCTGGTAGACTTAGTGCTAACGGACTGGTCATATTCTTTTATTGAGGAGGGGCTGGGAGGAAACATTGGAATTTCTCTAACTATTTTCAAGACCTCTCTTCCATAGACATACAAATTTCATTTCCCTCATTTCTCAATAATTTTATTCGTCATAAAAAAAAATAAATGATTTTGTCGAAAAAAATTTAATTTATATTTTCATTATTAATGTTATTCAATAAAATATTGCATGCGTCAGCAGTAGATCCAGAGCTTCAGTTTTGTTAGTTATTTACGACTTCAGTTAACTTAATCTATTGCATATGCTGGTTATGGTCTCATTGAAATTTACCACATCTTCTTTCTATTTTAGCTACAGATAAAAATCTTGATAGAACATGTTGAACTTTAAGATTTGGAATTCTAACAATTGTGCCGAGCTGAGCGAGGCGGAAAAATGTAACATCTATCATGCCAATGAATTACATTTTTATTTTATTTTCGGGGGAAGTGTAGGGTGTGGGTCCCTTGATTGCGCTTCTCAAAGTCATGAAGGACAATCATTCATGTAAAGAAAATTACAAAAGCCATGCTTGAGTCCTAGATATAATCTTAAATCAATGATATAATCATATATATGCTAAAGTTTTACGATAAATCATGTAAGAAAATAGCTATTTGTATTTTAGGTATTTTATCAGGAAAGCTTTGAGAAAACCTGCAAAAACTAAGTAATCAAACCAGCAAACACTGATATTGTCGTTCTTCATGTCTAACAAACAGAGAAATGTATTGACTTACATGAAACAAATATTAAAATGACTTTTAAAGCCAAGATTGACGCAAAAAGAGATATAGATACATGTCTGACATCTGTATCAAGTGTTAGACACTCCTGCTGAATAATCAGTCAATCAGATACTGATATAATATATAGTGTATTCATCAAATTAGCTATAACTTTTGCATGTTTGAAATTACAGAATTACTCAAATATTGTAAAAAAAATCTATGCCCCCCATTTGAAGTATTAAAAAATTCGGTACCCCTTTTCCATTCCCCAAAATTTTCAAGCCCCCCCCCCCTTTATTTTCCTCTCTTCTTTTGGGTTTCAAATGACCATTCCCTTATTTTCACACTAAAAAAGTACAATGTAATGGGTCTGGATGAGGTTTACAGAATAGAGAATAATGGACAAAAAGTGCAGAATAAATGAAAAAAAAAAACCCAACAAGGATAGAGAAAAATAGGGAAAAAAACCCTATAGAATAGAGCACCATTGGTTGCTAAATTAACAAGAACAGAGAATAATGATCAAAATAAAAACAGAAGAAGCGTGTAAATAATAAAACATTTTTGACACTCTCTCAGACGAGGCTATTTACTCAAGTGGCTGTAGTGGCTGTATGAGATTAATATTACGTCATATGCTCATATGTTTCTTGTTATGTACGATCATTCAATATTTTCTAATGAAACTTTATCGTTAATATTTACTTTCTAAAATTACACAAATGTCTGTCGTCCCTTTTTGACTTTCACTTTCGGTTTCGAACTTTTCCTTGTGGAAATATGATATGCATTGATTTTCGGAGAGAGTTTTTGAACTTTGTCAAGAGGCCTTGTTTACCGTTAGACAAAGATCAATATGTTATCGGATAAAAATTGCTGACACCACATAACCTCCGTATCAATTATTGAATACATGATCTCCTAAATATAAAATGATCTCATTTTTTATTACATTTTTGCAACATTAAAAAGTACTTTAAATGTAAAACCATACCTGTCATTTCATGTCCATAGGCAGTAAACATAATTACGCTAAATTATTTGTTTTCATATCACGTGAATACATATCCAATATTTCAATATTTATTACTACAGTAAAACACAAAAGATTTAAAGTAAAACAAACCTATCGCATATCTTTAATAACACAAGCTATCAACATATATAACGACCGTTGTATAGTTGACATACTATACATACAAATACACTGCTTGTTATATTTGGTTGTCTTTGATCTAACATACATTCTTTAACCATGTTTACGTGCTACATTTTCTTCACTTATCTGAATGATCATGGCATTGCAAACATCGTAATTCTAAATTACCTTAGCTTAGCTTAAACCTTTTGTTTTATTGTTTTTTTTTATATTTTGTTTTCATGCGAACTAAGCTTAAAGCATTTAAGCTCATTTTCCAGTCGAGATATTATCTCCACTTTGAGTCCGTCGTCCGTCCGTCGTAAACCAATTTACAATGATTATCATTTTCTGCTCTGAAAACATATAGTATGTACAGGATATAATTGAATGATACATGCAAGGTCCTTTATAAATATCCATTGCAATTTTCAACCATTTTGTGTTTGTGGCAATTATCTTGAGAACTATGACAAAATAAATGAAACTGTAAAAAGCTTAAATGACCAGAAAGACAAGATTTATAAATAGATGAACATAACATAATTTGTGGATGGACTTCTGATAGGAGCTACTACTCGTAAACAAATTTTAGCGTTTTCGTGTTGAAAATGATTGTAGATAGGGAGAATCTTGAAACAGAAAGACACTATACTTATACTAGAAAATAAAATTATGTATGAGTATTTCATTATTTAATTATTCTTAATAAAAAAAATATCATCTTTCAACTTATATCATCAGAGAGGATCTGGTTCCAACCTGGTCACAATCCTACTTTAATTGTCCTTCCCTTTGGCTATATCACCCTTCTCTTCGCTCCGTTATTCTCGTATCACGGCTTTGAGACGTGAGCAGACATTATCAACGACGTCACAATGTCTGAGGAGAAGTTATCAGCGATGTCACAATATGTGAGGAGTAGGTTTGCGAGTCGGAACAACTATTTCACAAACGTGTGAACGGTTATCGTAGTGACTGTGGCTGTAAACCAGACACTTGGGGTCTCCTTAATGATTCTAAGAGATATCTGAACCGACTGACCATCACCATCATTGAACACAAAACATCGTGGTCTAGAGAGGAGAGAATCACAGGGAAAGATTTTGGATAAGAAAGTTGAAAACGTTGGCACCAAAAGGGACCAACGAAAAGAGGTAGTAAAATCAAGCAGTACTATCTGTGGCACTTAATGGCTGATTATGATATTGTTGCATAATTTAAGTAGGTAGGAGTATCAGTCTCATAAGAGTCTTTAGTGTTTCATTTTTTTCTAGGCGTTTGAGTTCTTATTTTTATTTTTCAGTAATGCCGTGCTATAAAGTCATTCATCTATCCATTCGTTTGATGTGTTTGAACTTTTGATTTTGCCATTTGATTGGGGACTTTCCTTTTTGAATTTTCCTCGGAGTTCAGTATTTTTGTGATTTTACTTTTCACAGCCAATAAGAGTTAGAGTATATCTTGAAAATAATCTATGAAATTGTTAATCCTTATGAACGTTCAGTCTAATGTATCATCTGTTGGATGGAACAAGTACAAATTAATATGAAAAAAGTAAAATAAAAAAATACCGAACTCCAAGGAAAATTCAAATCGGAAAGTCCCTTATCAAATGGCAAAACAAAAGTCAACACATCAAACGAATTGAAAACAACTGTCATACTCCTGACTTGGTACAGGCATTTCCTTATGTAGAAAATGGTGGATTAAACCTGGTTTTAACAGCTAGCTAAACCTCTCACTTGTATAACATTCGTATAAAATTCCATTATATTGACACTAATGTGTGAACAAAACAAACAAGACATAATAGGTAAAAATATCAAAATTAGGGGTACAACAGTCAACATTGTGTTATAATCTTAATCACTATAAAAACATACAAATATGTCAACAAAGAAAAACAAACAAGACATAATTGGTAAAAATGTCAAAATTAGGGATACAACAGTCAACATTGTGTTATAATCTTAATCACTATAATAAACATACAAAAATGTCAATAAAGAAAAACAAAATAGCTTATAAGCACATAAGCAAAAATTGAAAGACTAGAATACAAAAAGTATACAGCGCAACAACACATTAGAAATTATTCAATGCATTTTTTGCATTAAAGCTGATATTATAAATATGGAATATGATTACTCTCAGATCTTTACTTCGTGTCTTTTTGTTGTGAGGGATGTATAAATTCTCTGTCACATCCGGTCTGTGTTTTTGTTAGATGTTTTTCGCTTTGTATCGATCTGACGAGTTATATCCTTTTCAACTGATTTTTACGCGGATGAAATTCTTAGTAATGCGCTATCGACAAGAATTTCTATTAATTGTTCTTATGTTGTACTTCTAAACCTCTATCCAAGGCTTGGGGAGGGTTTGGCGCCAGCAAACATGTTAATCCCGCCACATTTGTTATGTACCTAATAGATACCAAGTCAGGAGCCTGTAGTTGAGTAGTTGTCGATTATTGATGTTTCTCATATTTGCTTTTCGTTTATTGTTTTCTTGTAGTTTGTTCTTGTGTTTTGCCTTTGATTCATTGTCTAAGGTTAGGGGAATGGTTGGCTCCTTTAACCATGTTAACCCCGCCACATTTGTTATGAGCCTGTCCAAAGTCAGGAGCCTGTAGTTCAGTGGTCGTTGGATCATGTCTGTCATATCTATTTTCGTAAATTGTTTTGTTTTGAATTAGACCGTTAGTTTTCTCAATTGAATCGTTTCATATTTTCATGTTGGGGCCGTTTATAGCCGACTATACTGTATGGATTTTCTCATTGTTGAAGGCCGCACATTTGCCTTTAATTGCTTGCATCTACTTTATTTGAACTTTGGTCGATAGTTGTCTCATTGGTAATCATACCACATCGCTTTATTTTTATATTAATCATAATGATATTTGTATATATATTTACATTTATAAGTCTCTATTGGAGAAACTGTATATAAAGTCTTAAGTTGTGGGTTTTTATATATATTGTTGTATGCAAAAGATCTTGGAAAACGACCATGAATAGCCTTAAAGCGGTTTGTCCAGCATACTGGTTCCTATATATGTTGTAGAAATTATTTTCCCATTCAAATACGTAATTATGTATAACGATTGAGTTAACTTATTAAGAGGTGAGAATGAATAGGTAATATATTTTACATATCTTAATGTGATACTAGAAATTTCGAATGATTGGTCAAGGCTAAATAAAACTTCATATTTTATTATCAAGATGCATCACAACGATTTCAGGTTATATCATTATCTAACACCGATTATTTACAAACCCAGTTACAGATAATTTCATATGCGTAATTACTATAGGAAAATATAAAGACTGAAAGTATAGAGCTATGTCTGTGGTTCTGTGTGTGTGTGGAACCGGAACAGACTGCCTTAAATGGTCATGTTCATTATTCTGGACACTCACTGGAATAATATTCATTCTTGCTGCAGAGCTTACACAAGGTAGTCATTGCAAAGACAATAGCGAGAAATGGCTATTAGCAGTTCTTCCGATTGTTGCTGCTTGTGCAATAATGTTTTCAGGAATAAGTTTATGTTCAGGATTGAAAGTTTGTTTAAAGTCTTGCTGCATTTTAATTTGGACTTTCCTTGGAATTTTGTGTGCAACTATTTCATGTGTACTCATTAATGGGAATTGCAAAGACATGGGCGCACTATTGACAGGACTGTTTATGACTGGTTTCGTGGCGCTGTGGATTGGTGGATGCGTCATTGGATGTTTTTCGAGGAACAACAAAGATTACGATGAAGTATAATCGCATAGTGTTCTTTTTACGTACTTCAGTTATATTTTATACATTGGTATTCTCAACTTTAAACTATAAGTCTTTATTCCAAATTTCTATTTCCAAAATCGTACTTTTATGTATTTTAAGTTTAAATTCTTAATACTGAAAAAGATATTTGTTGTGAAATGAAAATGGCATACAATGACAATGAAATTAGAAAATCATAATATTGACGGATTGTTAGGTAAATTACGATATTTTGCCTTTGTATAGCATTAGCAATAGACTCCAGGATCACTACAATTTTTTTTACGTCATAAGTCATAAATATAAAAACTAAGTTCAGAGAACAATGTGGTCTAATACATTGGCAGATGATACCGATGACCTTGAAAAAGGTAATAAGGTCAAATGTCAATTTTATGTCCTTGATGGTAAATGTTGTGTTTTTGACTCTTTTTGAATGGTTTTATGTTTATCTTAAAGCTTTTTAATGCAATTTACGTTTATCTACATATGTGTTTTTACGATACAAAAAGGTTCAATATATAAATAACACTTGGATTAGAGGGTGGTAGAGCAGATTGTTTCATCGATAAAGATTGTCAACTGAGGGGAAGTATTTAGCATTTTGACTGGAAGTATAATAAAAACAATTACAATCTTTATTTGTGTTTAGTTGTTTGTGCTTCATGTCGATCTGATGAGTTAAGCCTTTTTCAGAGTTTTGCTTTTACAATATTGTTCTTATATTGTGCCTTAACATCACAGTTCCAGGTTAGAAGGGAGATAATGGAGATTGAGAGCTCGTTAAATACAGGATTAACCCGTTACGTTCTTTATCTTCCTAAGTCTGTAATTCAATGGATGTCGTTAATTGCTGCATGCTATATTAGTTTTTTGTTTAATGTTTTAATATAAATCAGATCGTTGGTTTTTCTCGTCTGTTTTTCATTTAGGACCTTTATAGTTTATTATACGAAATAAAATTGTTCATTGTTGAAGACTGTGATGTGACGTGTAGTTGCCTACCGGGTACAAATGTAGGTCCAAATTCATTCCTTACTGACTAAATTACGGATTTTTTATGAAAGTTTTTGTTTCATATTTTAGAATTAATTATAACCTACATATAAAATATGTAAAAAATGTGGAATTCCCGAATTTTCTAAAATATAAAATAAGAAATTTGCACCAGTTGGTAATAAAGGATGGAAATTTAGATTTTATTGATTGTTTTTTTAAATCATATTTGATTTGATAATCTTTTTATTAAAATTCGCAATTATAAACTACACACATAGTAAGAGGTTTAGCTAGTTATAAAACAAGGTTTAATCCACTGTTTTCTACATAATTAAATGTCTGTACCAAGTCAGGAATATGACAGTTGTTATTCGTGCATTTGATGTGTTTGAGCTTTTAATTTTGCCATTTGCCTACGGATTTTCGGCTTAGAATTGGGGTTTGGTATTTTCGTTATTTTATTTTTTATTCATTATTAAGAAATAAATGTGAAATTACAGTGTTTTGAAGACCATTAGTGGTCTTTTAAACATTTTAGGCTCTGTCTTGTTCGTTTTGTTCGATGATTAGTGGTAGCCTCCTCTATCCCTTATCTAAGTGAAATCATGATTGATGTTATAACAAAGTATTTGCGTCATGCAAACTTTTAACATGACATCTGAAATAGCCTATTTAATATTTGTCAGATATTTTGCTATATTAATATGCTATCAGAAAGAGTATTCAAAATCAAAGATGTGTGGATTATACGTCTCGACCAATCTATGGTGATTTTCATACTTGGAAATGAAAATCAATGATCCTGAGTTATGGCGTGCGAGCTTATGTATGTTTGTTTATGAAATTTACATTTATGTTCGTTTAAGGACAAGCAACTTTGTTTGACTTGATTCAAAAACAGACTATTTAAAAAAATAATTTCTTTTATAAAACATTTCCTCCTATTTCCAATGCAAATTTAGAAAAAAAAAATTGTGTTTGTAGAACCAATTCCCTCAATAGATGAATGATCGCTACCTTACTGTTACTTAATATATATAAAGGTATTTTTTTTATTTTCATTACATATGTAGTGTTGTACACAGTAAAGTTTGCTTCATATCTTGACTTGCATCTAGAAATTGATAGTAAAGGTCGGACAAAAAATAAACTTTAAGACAAAAGATATGATTTTAGCATCCCAATAGTGAGGTTTCTAATTTATATGTAGCAACATTCCTTCAGCACATGCAAATTGCTTCTCTTTGGGTAAAGTTGAAATCATCCCTTCAGAACTTTTACGGACGTCATCACGAGTTGGTTGACCGTTTTAGGATATCTGTTTCACAGATGACAACTTATATGTTCATAAACACAATCTCATCCTCATTTCCCACGAATGTGACCCACATAATTAGACTTATAACCGGGTTTGTACTTACATGAGCAACACCGCGGGTGCCGCATGTTGAGCAGAAACTGTTTACCATTTCGGAGGAGCAAAGTTACCCCGGTTTTTTTTTGTGGTTCGTGTTTCTCAGTGTTTAGTCTTTAGTCTATGTTGCCATGGCGTTGTCTGTTTATTTTCAACTTTTTAGCTTAAATGTTCGTTGGCATATTTGACTCTTATTCGAAAGTAGAACTGTAACAGATATTATGAACAATGATCATTATTTTTATTATTTAACTTTAGAGTAAACTCCCTTGATAATGCTGAATGTAAATGTGTCAACAATCAATATAGTTTTTGTTGGAAGGGGGGAGGGGCTAAAAGGGAGGCGAAAGATATCGAAGGGATAATACAACCCATAAGATTTAACAAATACGCTGACTACGCCATGGCTAAAAATAAAAGTCAAACACACAAACAGTCCACAAAACACAACATAGAAAACTAAAGACTGGACAACGCGAACCCCACTAAAACTAGGGGGATCACAGGTGCTCCGGAAGTGTAAGCATATCCCGCTCCACATGTGACACCCTGCGTGTTACTCCTTTAAAATACCTTGATAAGTTATTCAAATGTGATAATCAATAAAATAAGTATAATGTTTACATGCATCAATTGAAGTATCAGTGGAAGCAATAAGATCAGTGTCTTCCTCCGACTAAATGTTTACTGCAAAAATCATCATTTATTTTTACTCTGGCAGTATCTTCTACAGACATTATCCATCTTATGTGCATTTTTGTCCGAAACCTTGTTAACTCAGCTCCTTCCTTGTAATCGTTATGTATATAACTTTAATTTCGCTTTTATATGTATCATTTCAGCAATGTTTTGTCGCATCTTTCATCAATGAATCATTCATTATGAAGGTTTTAATAACAACTGTTCTTACACCTCACAGTTAATTTAAAGTTTGTTTTCTTAAAAACATAATAAACAATACTGTAATGTACTAATGCATGTGGGAAAATAGATTACTAGTAATCAGCAGGACAAGAAAAGGCTAACTATAAATATAACAAACATACTACTGGTAAGACCTTGTTTATTAATCAAAGTGTTTAAGGGACGACCATTTGATTTCATATGGAGGAGGGTGCTGGAGGATTTCAGAAATGAGGTCCTACCTGGTTAGAGTTGAAAATAAATAGTTTTCCAAAGACACCATGAAAATCAATATTCTGCATCACAAAATCTAGAAAATGAAAAAGTATAACAAAAATATAATACTCTAAGGCAAATTAAAAAAAAAGAGAAGTCCATAAAACTGACAAAATCAAACGCTTTCAATCAAGGGCACAAGTGAAAAAAAGCAACTGCCATATCATAATAGTGTACTAAAGTGGAAAAAACGTTCGCACTACAAAACAGCGAAAGAAAAAAAACTTATCTAGCAATAGATGAAAATGAATATATGCAGTTAATCCAAAACAAAATCCTCTTGGTCTCCCACTCTCTCCCCTGAATATTAAATCGTCATCCCCTTAGTAGTATGTAAACAATTCTTGAAGACGACTTGACTGTTCTAGAAATCGCTTTGTAAAACTTTTACCGGTTGCTCTTTGTTATAAGGGATCATTTCCCCACTCAACACTTAAATTTATACATGGCGAATGTGAATAGGGATTAATTCAGTAAATAAATATAGTACTACGTCATTTAGGACGCCCATTTTGGGGAGAGCGATTAGATAACAAGTCCTGTGCTCCACTGATTGGTAGACAATGTTTGTTATAAAAACTTTTGAAAAGATGGATCAAAACTATGGTTAATAAAATAAAAAGAAATCAATGCGCTTTTTTTTTACTACGGGAATGGAAAGTGATGGGGGTCGGTTAAGGAATTTAGTTCGAAACTAGTGTTAATTAACAAAGGACACGAAAATGACCGAAAAATGCCGCATGACTCTTTTTATTGATTGTTGCAAAAGATGAGGCAACATTTGTACTTTAATGAATTACACATATGAAAGCTTTTAGGTAAACAAGGTATAAATGTGACACAGTGAAGTTTGTACCAGTGACGGACCCCTATTTTTTTTATCTTATTATTATAGTTACAATTTCATTACAGTTGTTTAGATAAATAAGAGTATCATGTGTGTCCTGCGAGATGCATTGAGATTTATCAATATATTGCTGATAAGCCGACATAACACATGTAAAATAAACATTTGGAAAATGTATTTATAATTCTTTCATTCTATCCCAGGTAAGAAGCTTATTTTTGTATTATATTCTCATTTAAAAAAAAAAGTTATAATTTCTTGTACACTTTTTTGATATATTTGAAACTTTAGTTATTTTTTATTGATTTATTGATTACTTTACTTATCACATCGATCGACGTTTTTATTAATTTAATGATGATTTTCACTATTACTTTTAAACATACATCTTTCAAAGTGTAAAGTATTAAGGTATTAGACCACCCATTCACTCTCTTCAATTTAGAAAGTATCTTAAAGTAGCCCTAAATCGAAGCAAAATAGTGCTTTTGATGTCATTATTTACTTAAAGTAACCAACAAATTTGCAGAAATGAAGCCTTTGGTAAAAGAAAAATATATTTAGACCATTTTGAGCCAAAATGTACTTGTCCATGAATTTGCATTAAAATTTCAGAATTAATGCGCTCCATAGTATACTAATATACGATTTCCAGAAAACCAGCGGTTATTTTTGAAAGTACCTGTGTTCCGAAGGTCAGATTTTTCTTATAAGAATATAAAAGTAGGTTAAAAATTGGCATGTAGAAAGGTAATACATGAACGATGCAGGATACACCTGGTTTCTGCAAAAAGTTAAACTTAAGGTTAATATTTAGAAAGCTGTGAAAATTTCAAAATTTGGTTGAACAGATAGGGTGTTTTAATATGGTAGCCATAATAAACTATCGGTAGAAAGTATTAGTTTTGTTGACAAGTGTAATATTGTTTACCTCGTGAATTATAAGAATGTACACGTGTCTTCAGAGAACAAAGGAATTCACGTGATGCCTCGATGTAGAGCGGTGCTCTGATAGAAAATACATTGAATGCTTTATTACATGTATATCTTCGTTATAAGATTAGTTTTTGTATAATTGTTATGTTACTCTATACCCGCTTATTACTTATTATTTGGTATAATTTTCTTTTATCATTTTTCCCTTATTGACCCTAAAGTTCATTAATAATTGGTATCAATGAAAAATTTCTCACACAAAAATAGATAAACGTAAATGTTCTTATGTACGTTTTGCGAAACAAACACATCTTTGATTTAAAGAAATACATAAACCTTTTTATGAATAGAAAGTTTAGTTCATTTAATAAATGTTTTGAAAAGTTATTCAAATTAGTTAATGAAGTTTGCGCTATGCGAAAAAAGTATATTAAGACCCATGAAAGTGAATAATTAAGTTCAATTGGCTCTTAGAAATAACAGAGTTGAAGTAATGTATTAAGTGAATTATTCATTAACTACACTCATACGGTTATTGATTATGCATGATATGATGTTATTTGTAAAACTAATCATCAATTTGTTAATTCTTAATAATTGTATTGCATGTAAAAAGTAAAATCACAAAAATACTGAACTCCGCGGAAAATTCAAAATGGAAATAAAATGGCAATATCAAAAGCTCAAACACATCAAACGAATGGATAACAACTGCCATATTCCTGACTTGGTACAGGCATTTTCTTATGTAGAAAATGGTGGATTAAACCTGGTTTTATAGCTAGCTAAACATCTCACTTGTATGACAGTCGCATCAAATTCCATTATATTGAGCCGACATAAAACATGTTAAAACAACATTATGAAAATGTATTTATAATTCCTTCATTCTTTCCCAGGTACAAAAACAGAAAATAAAAAAAATATGTCTAGGAGGAAGTTAAATGTGATTGTGTGTGGGACAGACTGCCTCAAGTGGTCATGCTCAATATTCTGGACACTCACTGGAATAATATTCGTTCTTGCTGCAGAGCTTACACAAGGGAGTCATTGCGAGGACGATAGCGAACAATGGACAATAATTGCACTTCCTATAGTGTCTGCATGTACAATGCTATTTTCAGGAATAAGTATATGTTCAGGAATGGGAGTGTGTTTAAAGACGCTTTGCTCCGTAATTTGGACTTTAATTGGAATTGTGTGTACCAGTTTGTCGTGTTATTTTATCACTATGCATTGTAAAGACATGCAAGCAGTATTGATTGGACTGGTTGTGACTGGTTCCCTGACAATCTGGATAGGTGGATGTGTTATTGGACGTCTAACAAAACAAGGCGGAGGTTTTAGGAAAATATAATACAATAGTGGTCTTTGTACTTCTTTTCTTTGTATCAAATGATTTTTTTTAATTTCAATATCGTATTCTCTATTTCCGAATGTTCATATCTAAATTTGAAAGAGGTTTTTTTATTTTTTATTCTTAAATTCTTATTTATAAAACAGTCATTTTTTATAAGAAAACACATTTTTTCAGTTTTTTTTAACTCGGCCTATAAATCTATTTATCCAGAATGCATTCATATGTTTTAAAAAGCCATATATATGGTTTCTCAAAAACATTTTTAAAACTCGATAAAGGTCAACATAGTATCGTTAAACTTTTATGAAATACAATTGGGGTTAACATTAAAAACTATAATTAAAAACAAACGAAGATCAGCCTTTCACTGAACTAGTACAAATTTTTATTAAGGGTCCAGGTGAGGCCCACCTCCGGGTGCTGGAGCTTCTCGCTGATTTGAAGACGCATTGGTGGCCTTCGGCTGTTTGGTCGGGTTGTTGTCTCTTTGACATATTCCCTACTTCCATTTTCATTTTTATTTGATCCTTTGAATTATGAACCATAATTGCACCCTGATCATGGAAATCATAAATATGGATATGGTTTGCTTTTGGTAACATAAGATACTTTCATGAACCACACCAATTTTTGTTTGGATGGTTACGTTAACTCATGTGACATAAATGTGTCTTTTTACGGAAACAAACATTTTAATCAAGACGGAAATTTTCATGAAAATGAACCGACACGCTACAATTGTGTCTAACACTTAGTAATAGATAAATATATTGCTTTTGAAGTCTTAAATACCATGCATATCATACAGAAAAGGAAAAGAAAATTTGATATACCTGAATAAAAATGTTTAAGATAAATAATATTGGATTTGAAATAGGATGTAGAACCAAATTTCCTGTACTTTTTAATAATGGCAGGTTTTTTTTTACAACAAACCTATATATCTGTAACATATTTCATTTGTGGTGACAATTTTATTCAGAAAATCTTGTCAAGCTATCAATAGTCAAGCTTGCAGAGAGTTATTAACAATGTAGTTCACATTACAGGCAAATTTTATGGTATGTGTGCCTTTCGTCGCTAAATAGGTTAACATTAGATTTCAGAAAACGCACAGGTAGAGCAAGATAAAGAAATAAACAGTGCATCTGAAAATAGATTAAAAAAAGGAACAAACTCAACATTTACATTTTGTCATTGATATTGCAAATGCAAATATTTTTGTAAACATTATTAAAAATGCAACTAGAGAGTTGTTTAGTTTTTCCATTCGGAGAGGGAAATATTTTATGCATAACTTGAACTACTGACATTTTTATGCTTATAAATATTTTGGTGTTACTATTATTTTTAAAGAGATCAATAAGATGTAGGTTAATTTCTCTCTGAGCATATCACCAGCCAAGTAATTCAGCACTTCAGTGTTGAAGTGAATTATCATTGATATAGTCATATTAATAAAAAATAAATGATTTTGGCCAAAACAGGACGGAAACGAATATTCTGCAAAGTCCAGGCAATAATTGTGTTTAAAAGTGAAGCTATTTGTTTCAAATTTTCGCAAAAAATATAAGCATGTCTACAGCAGATGAATATGACAATCCGCAAGAAAACCTGCCTCTCCCCCGAAAATCAAATAGTCGTCCGATTAGTAGTGTGTAAAATATTGTTGAAAACAACTTGGATATCCATAAGAGTGGTTTGTCAAGCTTCTATTGGTTGGTCTATGATATTAAGAACTATTTTCCCACTCAAAACTTACAGTTATACATGGCGGTTTATTGATTATGAAGTAGGAATGCATAGTAAATTGTGCTTATCTTTCGTATAAAACAGAAGGATAACCCTCGAACTACAAGGCAAAAAAAAAATCACAACGATTTAAATGGTAGTTTATTGTCTAACACGGAAAGTAGGAAACTAATAGACCACTTTCGAGTTATTTTCTTCACCGAAAACAATCTTTAATTATGCTCGTCTTTCTTACATTATTTACAAGATAGAGGGGATCACATGTATCCCTGCACTAGTAAATTTCATCACGTGTCTTCATGATCGTCATTATGCAGGACATACTATAAATAATGTTTGTTTCGTAGGTACTTAATAACACTTCCGTAATGACATTAATGCTTGTAACCAATTATAAGAATTTAATTAATTTGCCGATTAGTTCGTGCAATATAGCATCATATTTTTCAACCTACTTGGGTAGGAAGTGACGACGACCCTAAACGCACTAATGATGCAACGAACTCGAAAATGGTCTGTTGTAATTGTGTGTAAGATAGACTGCTTCCAGTTGTCATTTTCAATATTCTTGACACTCACTGAAATAATATACATGCTTGTGGCAGAGCTTACAGAGGTTAGTAATTGAAAATTTGATAGTGAAAAATGGCTAAAAATTGTTCTTCCAATTGTGGGTGCATGTACCATGCCGTTTTCAGAAATACGTACAGGTATATGTGGAGGGCTGAAACTTTGTCTCCTTGATTTGGACGTTAATTTGTATTGCGTGCACAATTTTGGTGTGTTTATTTGTTGCTAAGTATTGCAAAGACATGAAAGCAATAGTGATTGGACTGGTTGTAACTGGTTCCGGGACTCTCTGGATAGGTGGAGGCTTTGAGATTTCAACAAAACAAGTCGGAAGTGACCATGAAATGAAATTGCACAGTTGTCTCTTTACTGACTTCATATATTTCGTATTTGATAATCCTAATTTTAATCTCATATTCTTTATTTCCGAATTTTTATATTCAAACTTGAAACTGAACTGCATTTTACTTTTTTAAATTCCGGTTACTTAAGAATATGTGTTGCTAAAAAAGTGTTTCGGTCGGATTTTTGTTTTAATTCAGCATATGAAACTATGTTATACCAAAAGAACTTTATGTGTTTGACAAAAAAAAAAGAAATGATGCTTTTACGCAAATATTTTGAAATCGTTAAAACAAAGTAGTAGGTTAGATATAGGTCAACATTGGGTTTACAAGTTTATGAAATTCAACTGAGTAAATACAAATTTTTTTTTGAAGAAAACAAATGAAGACTATTCTTACAAATACTTGAATAAAAATGTTATTTAACTTTTCATTCAACGTTCATCATGTTCTTAGTAAAATCTAAATAGCACCCTGCATGATCATGGAAATTTGAGGATAAATGTCAGTAGATTTTGCTTGTGTGCAACAATATACACACTCATGAACCACAGCATATATAATGTTGAAATATTTTTTTCTAACCAATATGTCATGAATGTGTCGTTTTATGAAAGAAGAGTAATTTGGTCCAAAAAGAAATTTCCCTAAAAAATAGAAATATTTTAGATTCTAAAATTCATGGTATTTAGAGACTGAGTTCAATTTTTTGAAACAAGCTTTTCCTAATTCCTCATTTTATTATTGGAATTAAAAAAAGGTTAAATTTTGAAATTGTCTACAACCTATTTTCTTGTGTTGAAAATCTTTATCAGAAAGTCGTTCCTCGCTTTCAGTAGTCATGCTTGCAGATTAGATTTATTAATTATAATGTTGTACATGTTATAGACTTATATTTTTTACTTTCTAATGAGTTATGGCGTGCAAGCAAATCTATTTTCAAATAATTGATTATCGTTGTTAAATATCGTTGACCTACTTAATAATTTACTTTGGATTTCAGAAAATGTTCAAGTAGAGCAAGGTAAAATAAATACCAGAGCATCTTAAAATAGATTTGAAAATGAAACAAACTCTCTTCATTTACATATTGGCATTGAATGATTATTCAAATGCAAATATATCTGTAAACACGATTTAAAAGGAAACTAGCGACTTGCTAAATCTCTACATGCGGCAAAGGGCATATTTTATACAAACTTGAACAGCAATATATTTATTAACTGAATTCACCCCTAGATGAATTACAGTATCATGTGTGTCCTGCGAGACGCATTGGTATGGAACGCCGTATCTGTCTTATTTATGCTATGATGATACTTTGTCACTATATGCTGATACTTTATCATTATATGCTGATACTTTGTCATTATGATACTGTGTCATTATATGCTGATACTTTATCGTTATATGCTGATGTCATTATGATACTTTGTCACAATGATACTTTGTCATTATATGATGATAATTTAGAATCATATGCTGAAACTTTATCACTATATGCTGATACTTTGTCACTATATGCTGATACTTTGTCGTTGTAGTATGATATTTCTGTATGTGATTATACTTTGTCTTTTGATGAGCTAATTTCAACTACTAACACCCGGAAAATCAAGATGACGGTAATAACATATGTTGGTATGTGTTAATTAACTTTAATATGTGTAATGAATTAAGGATGTACTCAGGTGAAATTTAAAAAATCAAGAATTCAAAATTGATACTTTAAGAGCCTGAGTTAAGGAACAAAATAAGCTGAAAATATTAATAGGTTATGGAGCTCCTTTTTGAGATATTTGGATTTTAAAAAAATGGCGGGAAAAGGCTGACTCGGACTTTTACCTTATATTTGCGTTGGTATTATTTGGCAAAGGCCCTTGTCTCAGAAAAAAAATTCCCTATATACCTTAATATAACACAAGGTAATTAACTCGCTTTTTTGAAAAAAGTCAGCCGGTCGCGAAATTCCGTTATATGCCGATTTCTCGGTTGTCAACCCCACTTAAACTTGTTATGTCGTAAATCTAAATTGATTTTTCTACACAATGGTGTATAACACGCCTACTTTTGTTGTCAGAATCATCTGTAGCAGGCCTACCCAATATGTCAATCGTAATTATTTCGTCTACCGACGCCAGATTGGAAACACAAAACTCGCAGTAAATGATTAATTTTAAAAATTATTTAAAAAAACTTTAGTTTTTGTCTGAATAGAACTTATCACCCAGTTTGAAAAATTGTATAAGATACCGTGAAAAAAATCTAACAAGTGTTATTTGTGGTATGTCTAATAAGTTACGAGTTTCTATTTTTAGACAAAAATTTTCCCATTACGTTAATGTCATTCAGATTCTCTCTGGACTTTACGTATGAAATGAAATATGTTCAGATAACTTCGAAAAACATTTAAACCTCCCCATAAAATTTGACCAATCGGAAACCGAGATATATAAAGAGAGTGGGAAGATACCTTTTACTGCGAGACGTATGTTTCCAATTTGGCGTCGGTAGACGAAATAATTACGATTGACATACTTTAGAAGGATTGCTGCGGATGATTCCGACAACAAAAGTAGGCGTGTTATACACCATTGTGTAGAAAAATCAATTTAGATTTACGACATAACAAGTTTTAGTGGGGCTGACAACCGAGAAATTGGCATATAACGGAATTTCGCGACCGGCTGACATTTTTCAAAAATGCGAGTTAAGTACCTTGTGTTATATTAGGGTATATAGGAAATTCTTTTTCTGAGACAAGTGCCTGTGTTATTTGGGTCTCAAATCGAAAGAAAAGAAATTTAGAATCTTCTTAAATTTGAGTAAATGACCTTTTATGAGCTATTGATGTCTTATATGAAAAAGAAAAATGGCTGTTATGGGGCAAAATATTTTACCCTGTATCGATTGAAAAAAACCAAGGAATACGAACATTTGACACTAATTCCTAAACCTCACCTAAGTACATCCTTAAAGAAACTTAATTTGGGGTTTATCATTATATAGCATAGGTACATATTACCTTAAAGGGGCACTAGCTACGAGATATATAAAAAAATTAAAATATGAATTTTTTTGTTCAATCATTAATGAAAGTAAAATAATGAAATAATAATTCGCTGTTAGCAGCAAATATGGTTCACTTTTGTCAAAATAAGCTAAGAAACATCGATGATGAATTATTCACTTGCAAGTGAAAAGTTCGACCTCACTGAATCCGTATTCATGTGAACCTCAATTTAACCCCTTAGCTAGAGATGGATAACGCATAAATCGTGCGTGATCAGTTATTTAAAGGAAAAGAATGTCAACATTGAAAGTGAAACAAAGGTAAATAATCTGATTGACTGATTTGATCCACAAAAATTCATTCTTTTACAGGTAAAAACGATGATTAACATATATTTTAATCTATAATATGAAATTAAATAGACCTAGAAAATCCAATTGCACGAGTAGCTTAATCTATTTATATCTATATTTATGTGTATATCCGTTATATGGCCATTGGAGGTTTTCCGAGGTCAACTCGATAATTGATTAGATGGCGTCTAGACTAAAATACTCACGAAACGAAGCTA